TGGGTTGTCTCTATCCGTATCAGCTTCTGCACATGTAAGCATAAGCGCAGATGCGGATCGCCCAAACAGGCAAGGCGTATGTGTGGCGCGAGGGCAGAGAGTAGAGTACACGCTCTCACAAATGCTTGTTTCACCACCACCCTTCAGCCACGTTCCCACTCCAACCCACAGAGCGGCGCCGAGGGACCTCATTGTCTTCTTCAATTACTCGACTCTCCGCCGCTGCTCTCCCGCATCCATCCCCTGGCCGCATTTTCTTCGAGTAGACATCCGCTGGCACGGTTGGCCTGACCTATCCCTGGCTTAGGTACTCCGCATCCCTCAGGTTAGCCGGCGCAATCTGGCTTCTCCATAAGCCGAATAATTAGCCATCTATCCATCCCTACCCTCACCCGACCACCACAGTATCCTCACCCCTCGACTCTCAAATTTCCCGCGCCCCGCACATAGATAGTCGTCCGGACCTGGCCAGCCCTGTGCAACGCGCCTCAGCCACTACATGATCGCACTCGGTTGCTCATAGCTTCCTTTCCTTTCGGCGCCCTCGCCATGCGCATTCACTTTTGGGGCCTGCTGTCGGTGGCGACGCTCGCTGCAGCAGGAAACCGCCTTCCACCCCGCAACTACACGACCCACGACTACTATGCCCTCCACATCTCCCCGTCCGAGTCGCCCTCAGAAGTTGCCGCCCACCTGGGCTTGACCTACGACGGCCCCTTCGACTCGCTCGACCACCACCACATCTTCAAAGCCCCGAAACATGACAACGACATCGTAGACGACGCACGGCAAGAGCTCAAGAGGCGTAGACGGAAGCGTGAAGTTGGCGCCGAGTACCAACTCCTTGACAGTATCCGCTTCGCCCAGAAGCAAAAGCTCAAGCCTCGCCACTGGAAGCGCAGTGTAATTCCCCCACTGCCAGATCGAGCCGTCCCGGTCACGGAAGCCATCACAGCTCAGCGCAAGGTCACAGAGCAGCTACAAATCAAAGATCCCATTTTCGAGGAGCAGTGGCACATCTTCAACGTCAAGGCGCAGGGCAACGATATCAACGTTACTGGTGTATGGCTGCAGGGAATCACTGGCAAAGGCGTCACCGCATGTGTTGTGGACGATGGTTTGGATTATACAAGTAACGACTTGAAAGACAATTTTTTCGCCGAGGGCTCTCACGACTACAACGATCACGAAGACCTACCCACCCCAAAACTCTCTGACGACCGCCACGGAACAAGATGTGCTGGAGAAATTGCTGCGGGAAAGAACGATGCCTGTGGACTTGGACTTGCCTACGAAGCCAAGGTCTCTGGCGTGCGCATCCTCTCTGGCGACATCACAGACGTTGATGAGGCGCTTGCTATAAACTACGAGATGCAAAAGAATGATATTTACTCGTGCTCCTGGGGTCCCCCTGATGATGGCAAAACCATGCAGGCACCCGGAATTCTTATCGAGAAGGCCATGGTGAACGCTGTCCAGAACGGCCGTGGCGGCAAGGGCAACATCTATGTCTTCGCGGCCGGCAACGGCGCTGCCAGTGGCGACAACTGCAATTTCGACGGTTACACCAATAGCATCTATAGTATCACTGTCGGCGCCATTGACCAGAACAACGAACATCCATACTACTCTGAGGCATGCTCTGCCCAGCTTGTTGTAACGTATAGCAGTGGTGGCGGCGATGCCATTCACACCACCGACGTGGGCTTGAACAAGTGCACTAGCTCACATGGTGGCACATCTGCTGCTGGGCCAATTGGTGTGGGAGTGTACGCCCTGGTGCTCCAAGCTCGACCTGAATTGACATGGCGCGACGTCCAGTGGCTCACAGTCATGACCGCTGTCCCTCTCACTACCCCTAGCGACTGGACCAAGACACCCTCTGGCCGCATGTATAGCCACCAATTTGGTTACGGAAAGCTCGATGCTTATGCAATTGTTGAAAAGGCCAAGACCTGGGAGCTCGTCAAGCCTCAAGCCTGGTTTTACTCACCCTGGATGCATGTCCGAAAGCCGATTCCAGAGGGCGACAAGGGTCTCGCTAGTTCTTTCGAAGTCACGCCAGACATGCTCAAGAACGCAAACTTTGAGCGCGTGGAGCACATTACCTTGACTATGAACGTAGAGCACCAGCGTCGCGGAGACCTCAGTGTTGAGTTGCTATCGCCGAATGGTATGGTCTCGCACCTCTCAACTGCGCGCCGCTCGGACGAGGCGCCCTATGGTTACATTGATTGGACCTTTATGTCAGTCGCCCACTGGGGCGAGAGCGCAATTGGCAACTGGACCGTTATCATCAAAGACGTAAAAGCAGGTAACGGCAAGACTGGAGTTTTCACCGACTGGAAGCTGCGTCTCTGGGGCGAATGCATTGACGCATCCAAAGCCAAGCCCCATCCAATGCCCGACGAGCACGAGGACGACGACCACGACAAGATTGACGATCATCCCGCGCACGTCACCAGCGTCGCTGTCCCCTCTAGTGCTGAACCAACCATCACCTCCCTTCCTACAGACCACCCCGACCGCCCTGTCAACCAGAAGCCCGCTTCAACCCCGGTTGATAGTAGTTCCCAGACTTCTGTTGCTGCCGCGCCCACCGCAACCGCAACGGAAGTTGCCGCCGACGCGAGCGAAAACTTCCTCCCCAGCCCCTTCCCCACCTTTGGCGTCTCGAAACATACCCAAATCTGGATCTACGGCGCCCTCGGCCTCATCCTCGTCTTCATCGCAGGCCTCTGCACCTACCTCTTCATTGCCCGCCGCAAGCGAATCAAGGACTCGCGCGACGCGTACGAATTCGAGGTCTTGGAAGGCGACGAGGACAGAGACGACGCGGGCTTGCTTTCTGGTGCTGGAGCCGGTGCGCGAAAGAAGCGTGCGAAGAGGGGTGGTGAGCTTTACGATGCTTTTGCGGGTGAGTCCGATGAGGATCTCCTGAGTGATGATGATGATGGCAATGAGGGACCCTATAGGGACCAGGAACGTTTCAACGAGAAGTATGCGCGCGATGAGGAGAGTGAGGAGGAAGAGTCGGGAAGTGGAAGTGGGGGCAGCTCCGTAGGGAAGAAGTAAGATGGCTCGTTCCTCTCTCTCTCTCTCTCTCTCCCTCTCTCTGTCTTGTTGTCTTGAAAGTTCAAGCTCGCATCTACGTGTCCTACGTACGACAGGCGTTTTTTTCTCTTCTTCTTGCCTTTCTCGTCTTCTAACTGTTGGAACTCGGATTGCACTTCCATTTGGGCGGCGTTTGTAAAAGATTTCCTGTGCGCTTAGCTTGGCTTTGATAGTCGGAAATATAGAATATGAAAGAATGGTTTGGCTTGCTTGTTCGACATGAAGAGAAAATTGTGGTTTGTAAATGACAACAAATAATCTTTGAGATACTACTAGTAGAAACATGAGAAATATTGCGCGCGCGGGGGGGGGTATCATTATATTTGTTATACTGTATGGATAGAAACCTCTTTTTTTTCTTTCTCTCTTTCTCTTCTGCTTCGTCCCAAGGTAATATGAATGTTTTATGCCACTTTTCTTCCCACATTCCCTACACCTTTTCCTACGACGCTAACAACAATCTCTTCTCTCTCACCCCCCGCTTCTCGAAAGCCCCACGCACTACCCCCAAACATCTTCGCGTCCCTCGCTAGCTGAATGATTTCCTCACTGGCCAGCACTTCCTTGCCCAGCGCCACTCTGCCTACATCCTCGCTGCCCATAGCCATGAGCATGAGGACAGTGGGCGCGGCTACGTTTTCCACACAACCTCCTTGAGCAATCTTCTCGAGAAGTTGGTACGCGCACTGCTTGCCTATTTCGTCTGCAGGGACGCCGCCGTCAGGTGGAGAACACACGTCGGCAGAGTATATGCAGCCTGTGCTGCTTTCCGCGACGAGACTGATACCGAAGCCCACTGCACCTTTTACTTTGCCGGAAGCGTGACCTTTTGCGTTGGTAGGGATTAACGGTGCGGGACTTGCGTCTGAGAATATGTACGTGTCTGGTACGAATTTATTGAGGATGCCTCTTGCGGTGAACGTCATGCGTTCGTTGTTTGTCTTGGGGACTTCGACACAGTACGCTACGCCGCGGATTTTCTTGACGCGGCCTGGGTTCAAAAGGTGCAGGGTCTTGGGGAGGCGCACTTGGTGGTTGAATACGAGTTGGACTTCGCCGCCTGCGCCTTTGCCGCCTGCGGGGGCGCACGAGCGCTTGAGGATGCGCAGCTCGATGTTGCGCTCGATGGCGAAGTTGTTGTACAGCGGGAGTATGGCGGTGCGGACGGTGTCGGCGGATACGTCGCCGGCGATTGTGGACGAGGTGACGCAGCCTTCGCCGTGGAAAATTACGTTCACGTTTCCTTTGCTAAATGGCGAGAGGATGCAGAGAGGAATTAGCCACCAGCTTACTCCTCGCTTTCTGCATTCTGCGGGTATCTCGTGGCGGATTACGCCTCCGCTTGCGCCGAGGCCTTCAGCGGAGCCTGTGATGAGTCCCGGGCGGTAGACGAGCGTTGTGCCCGTCATGCTAAATTGTATTTGCGAGCCATTCGTCACCGAGTCGAGGAGTCGGATGAAGTTTGTTTCATGGCGAGTTAGACCGGGGTTGGTCGATGAAGAGCGGATTTGCGATATGCGAACGGGTCGGCCTGTGAGGGTTGCAAGCAGGAGGCGGGAAATCAGGTGCCGATGGCCGGTGAAATTGATCGGTTGCTGAAGGGAGTCGTCTAGGGTCATGGCGGGCGGTTGTGCTGTGGGGTAAAGGTATGCGGAGTGTGGAATTGAAGATGCGATGCGCTGCTATGCGACTGGAACTTTTTTTGGCGGAGCTTGACGATAAGATAAGACTAGCGCAGACGCGGTCTCTGCGCGTCTCGCGTTGGACGAATCGTCCGCATGTCTCCGCATGAGCGCTGAATCGGTTCTGAGTCGATTCACGCTGTGTCAATTCTTACTTGTACTGTGTGATCCCAGGATACTTTGGTTGCAGTCTCCCATGCGACAATGGCGGGCCTGACTAGGGAGAATGTTCGTCCACTGCTCCGCTCTGTAAATGGGAAGCGCCATGCGACCGACGATGATCACGAAGAGCCGGCAGGAAAGCGACGAGCGGACAACAAGACAGTTCCTGCAAAGCAACAAGAAGAAATCGATATCAATGCCGATCCACTATCCTCCGACGATGAATTACGTGCTCCCCCACCACGACCAGCCAAGTCCTTGAAACCCACTATGCCAGCACCTCGCAATGAGGATACAGAATTGAAGAGACCCCAGAGGAAGCCAGCAAAGAAAGGCGCATCAATACGGCCACCAACCAGGGGTTCGTATAAAAGCAGTCAAGAACTCAAAGCTGGCGATGGGCAAACTGATGACAAGGAGAATACGCTTGCATCTTCTCAAGCATCAGCGAGCGATGGGCCAATCCAGTGGGGTATGGAACACGTCTCTCAGAAGAATAACAGGAATGCAAAAGGATATGGTTCAAAAATAAAAAACATACACGCACCAGCACCAAAGAAGTTTGGGAAGGGTCCAGCCAAGCCTGCTGTGCGAACATATGGATCAGCAATTCAATCAAAGGGCAAGCAACCGAGCCAGGATTCTGATAGTGACTCGAGTGTCTCCATGTTGAATGACGATGAGCTGCAAGACCTCGCGGAAGAACTGGGTGAGCCTAATTTATCTGACGACGACGATTTACGGAGAGTGAACAGTAAAGCAACATCTAAGAAGGCCAAAGACAAGGACAACGGTGCTGTCCCTTACGATGACGACAAATTATCCGAAGTACTCGACTCAATATCAGAACAGCCCATGTCAGAAAAGTCCAAGAAAGCCGCAAAATCAGCCCAACTACTAAAACAACTCAACTCCTGGAAAGAAAACAACGATCCCCCCTCTTCCCAACCCGACTCAAGCGCCGCCCAAGACCACCTCAACGAAGTAAGCAGCTACATCGAACGCCTCCCAGAGATCGAAGAAGAAGGCACCCGCTGCCCCCTCTGCAACCACCCCGTCTCCCCCACCGACTACTGGCCCTTCTGGACCTCCAAATCCAAAACCGTAAAACACAAATCCGCATTCTGCCACTTGCACAAAAAGCTCTCCGCACAACAATCCTACACCTCCACCGGCTATCCCCCAATAAATTGGAGTATCCTCCCCCGCCGCCTCAAATCCCACAAGTCTACCCTCCGCCAAATCTTACGAAACGAGCGCCCCAGCCCCCACCGATCCCGCTACGAACCTCTCGCTCTAACAGGAAAAGCATCATCCATCCCCTCCAAACGCACAGATCTCTCACCCTCTCACCAAGCAGAACTCGAATCCTACGCCCTAGATGACCGCGCCGCCTACCCGGGCTACTACGGTCCCCACGGCCGCCGCCTCATCACCGAGAACATACTCGATCTTCTCAAAGAAGACATCAAGACCTGCAGTGATGCGGTTGTCCAGGCATCCGGGGTTGCGGCGTTTGTGCAGCAGGTTATGGTGCCCGAGGCCGCGGTCCTGCTTATTATGGAGGATTGTGGCGTGGGCTGGGAGGAGGCGGAGGAGGTGAGGGAGGAGACTTATGAAATGGGGGTGCTGGTTCATGAGGAGATTGAGGATGAGGTTGTGGCGGTGGAGAGTGAGGAGGATGAGGAGTATTAGCGAGGGATCAGGGCGATATGGTATGGGTTACTGTTGTTGTTTTCTTCTGGTCTGGTTGACGCAGATGGGGCGAGTGTATGTTTTGTCTGTCTCATGCTGTTTTTTTCTCTTCCGTTGCTGAAGCGGGTTTTTGCGAGGCTTGGTCATGGATATATATATGGCTTGTTTTTGATACCCGGATATCTATACCTTTTTCTTTACATTCGCATGTCCGAATTCTTGCTGCAACAATTTGAGTCAGTATCCAATATTTCCTTGCCCATCAAGTCCGTTTGTGAACACCGTCGCAAGTTATCGAGAAAGAGGACAGAATGGACACGGCGACGGGTATATTTTATTGCTAATCCTACTAGATGACCCCTGGTACGGGATTTTCTACTCATAATGCTTTTGAATTACCTCCTTCATTCATTCAAAATCGTGCGTTGACGCCATTACTCCATTGCATGGTATTACAAACATACATCTCCTACCCGTCCAGCACGCCACTTTCAATCAAACTACGGCATAGCTCGGGCTCCAAAAACTTTTTGACAGTAACATCTTCCGCAAGACCCTTTCTTCGTCGGGTCTTGAGCACAAAGTCGCGTGCTAGTTGTTGTGCGGTTGCGGGTTCCAGGGGGCGAGTTGAGATGCTTGTGTCGAGAGGATCGCCAGGGACAATGGACCAGCGATCAAAGACAAGGGAGAGAGAGACTTGGCCTTGTGTGTGAATCTGACGAGAGTTAGTAAATTTTTGCCTTCGAGTGGATTGTATACTTACCCTTAAATCGGTCTCGAAACCAAAAGAGTCGATGACCGGGATTAGACCGCGCACGTTGTAAAGTGGAGTACCTGCAATAGGTCCATCTTGTAAAACGTGCCCTCTTCTCCGTGCAAGAACTGTGTAGAGACTGCTCTTTGTGTCGGCTGGGCCAATCATACTGCACGAGTATACCGGCTCCATCAGCCTGGGACTTGCCATGAGGAAAGATGAGTAGCATGCTCGTCGACTCGTGGGGATGATTTGACCACCACCGCGGAAAATGGCTTCTGATGCTAGTTCAACGTCGGTAAGACGGAACTTGGTGTTGCGAATAGGCTCTTCACAGAGCGGACCTTCACGCGTGGCCCAGCTAAAACCCTGTCGAAGGGTATCTCGTACGCTTCGAAGAATCTTACCGTCGACCTCTGTAGGGAGTGTATCGTTTTGTAGGATGTTGGGGCCCATGTCATCTGGTCCGAAAGCCCAGATATTGCGGGCTGCGAGCAGATCGTATCCGTAGTTTTGCTCAAAGAACTTGCTGACTACACGGACGGGATCCTTGATGTTGACTTTGCCCGCCTCGATATCTTCAGCGATTCCTGGATCTAGCGGCTCAGCAATCATGGTGAGCTTGTTCTTCTTGTTCGGGGTAGAAGCGTAGCACTTCATCGAAGACATCTCGACGACGGTCTCACAGAACCGGGTAACTGGATCAGAGACCTTGATCTCCATGTCAGCATACAGTCGACGGAGATCGTGCAATACACAGTCCATGTAAAGCTCGCCAGTACCGAGAACCACGTGCTCTCCCGACTCCTCGACCTTTGTGGTGATGAGCGGATATGACTTGTTAATTTTGCGGAGACCGTCAAGCATCTTTGGCAGCTCAGAGGGGTTGATCGGTTCGACGGCGACCTTGAAAACAGATTCAAAAAAGTGCTTGATAGGCTTGAAGATGTAAGCGTCCTCCTCTTCCGGTAGCTTGGTCGCTACGATTGTTGCTGTCTTGACTATTGAGTTGTCGACACCGCCAAGTAACACCCAGTTGCCTGCTGGCACGCCGCTGACCGGGATATTGTACCTCGATTGAGCTATCCATGTATCCGTCACTGTTGCAACAACCATGTCTTCCTCGTCCTCAATCGTATAGCCTTCACCAAGTACACGCACTGACTGTGGTGAAGTTGCAGTACCACTCAGCACTCGACCCAATGCAGTGAATGATTTTGCGTCGGTCGCGTTGAAGAGCTTTGTGACATGTATGACAAGAGGGCCGTTCTGGTCACACTTTTGCATCGCCTCGGCCGTCTTTGTGTCCAAAGGTCCAGTGTAATGTTTTTGCAGAAGTCGTTGCGCGCCTTCCTCTGGCGATGGAACGTGTTGCGTGATCATGTCTACAAAACCCAGGGACGGACCAAAGTATTGCTGGCATACGAGTCGCATTAGCTCCTTCGCGTCCGCTTTGTATTCGGATGGCTTAAGCCGTATGCCCAGAGTTTCTAGTGTTTCCTTGAGGTCATCCGGACTTTGACTAAGCGTGTGTGAGTAAATCTTGTAGACGGGCTCTAAGATCCAGTGGACAAAAGACCGTTGCGATCCCTCCTCTTGTCGCTTACGACTGAACTTGCGGCTTCCTGGATTGTAGAAAATATCGCCCCAAAGTCGCATAGCAAACTTATCAATGTCCAGTCCCTTCATGGGAACGCCGAATCCTGGAAGCTTCGAGGGTCCAGGATAGAAGTCGGAGTACATCTTGGCAAATGACTGAATGGTGAAGCACCATCTCATGCTGGAGCAGGCGAAAGCGACGTTGCCTTTTTCAGGGCTTACACGCCTGCTCTCACCACGACCAGGTATGGTGTTCTCGATAACAGTGTTGACCTCCTCGATGACGTGCTTAATCTTGAAGTATGCGTCACTCGGCGGTAGCTTCAGTTCCAGAATCAGGCGATCCATCTTGTTGACCACCAGCGTGAGAGGCAAGTCCTCGAGGACCGCATGTTTGATGACCTGCTCCGTGTTGACCTGCACACCCTCAACAACGTCCACCACCAACACCACTCCGTCTACCAGGCGCAATGAAGCGGCGACTTCGTCGGCAAAGTTTACGTGACCGGGGGTGTCGAGTATGTTGAAAAGGTGCGATTTTGACTTTGTGTTCTGGAGCACCAGGCTCATTGGCGCCGCCTTGATTGAGAGGCCGCGCTCGCGTTCGAGCACGTGTACGTCGGTGTAGCGCAGCTGCTCCTCTCGCTTCTTTCCCCTCTTGTAGTCGAGGCGGTCCTGGATGTCGTGCGTCTCCATGACCAGCATGTCCATAAACGCGGTTTTTCCATGGTGCAGGTGTCCAGCAATGGCAATGTTCCGAATCTGATCTGGAAAGTTCATCAGATCAGTCAGCAGCTCTCTGGAATGGTAGACTGGTGGCAAGTCGGCCTCTTCAATCGAGAACTTCTTCTGCACGACTGGCGCGACAATGGGCTGGGCCAGCGACTGCGTATCTTCCTCTTGCACCAGCACCTCGACATCGGGGCCATATAAGTCTGAGGCGGAAGGGTAGTATTGCTTGTCCTCGTGCAGGACAACGGCGTTGGAGGGCCCATCGTCGACCTCCATCAACTGCTGGTTATTAGGCTCCGTCTCGTCCTCATCGTCGACGACATAGGCGTCGGCTGCATCGCCAACGCTCTGGACATCTTCGTCAGACTCGGCCTCGCCAATGAAGTTTCCGAACTCGTCGTAAAGGTCGTCCATGGTGGCTGCGGGGATGTAGCGCGTCGAGCAGGTCGAAGCTATCGCAAAACTCGGGAATGTCGCGAAAAGGTAACTCCCGCGTATGGCAGGTTAGCGTAGGCGGTGAGGGCGGCAGCCAATAGGGGAGAAAGCGCGCTGCAGGGACCAAAACTGCCCGAGCACAGGCAGGTTGCCCTGGTCGCCTCGCCGCTGTCGCAAGAAACTAATCTGGAAAAGGTTCAACTTTGCTACCGGGTATATAAGTGAGTACAGAGGCAATCCAATCGTCTGATCCTCGTTCAGCACTCTTCCATCTTTCTCTCTACTTTCCCGTTTCTGCAAGATACCCCAAAATGTCGTCTCTCCCTCCAGTCTACATTGTCTCGGCTGCCCGCACGCCCACGGGCATGTTCTTGGGGTATGTTGTGCTACCATGTGCAGAGGAGGGGCCCTAGCCAGCTCACACAAAGAACAGCTCCCTCTCAAGCCTGAGTGCCGTCCAGCTTGGCTCTCACGCCATCAAGTGTATGTTCTCCCTGTTAGATATCTCAGTGTTTACGCTGACATTTCCGCCCAGCTGCCGTTGAACGTGCCGGCATCAAGCCCACGGATGTTGAGGAAGTCTTTGTTGGCAATGTCCTCTCCGCAAAGTAAGCATTCTAGCAACCCAATCCATGTATTTTCAATCGGGCTACTTGCTGACTTGTGGCTCCCAGCCTTGGCCAGAATCCCGCCCGCCAGTGTGCCATTGGTGCTGGCCTCCCCGAGTCGACCGTAGCCACCACCGTCAACAAGGTGTGCGCCTCGTCCATCAAGGCCATCATTGTTGGTGCCCAGACCATTATGACTGGCAATGCCGAAATCGTCGTTGCTGCCGGAGCCGAGAGCATGTCCAACACACCCCACTATCTCCCCAACATGCGCAACGGCGCCAAGTTCGGAGATCAGTCACTGATCGACGGTCTTATCAAGGACGGTCTGACCGACGCCTACAAGAAGGAGCACATGGGACTTCAAGGCGAGGAGTGTGTCAGCGACCATGGCTTCACTCGTGAGGACCAGGACGCATACTGCATCCGTTCATACAAAAAGGCCATTGCCGCACAAGAGGCCGGTTATTTCAAGGAGGAGATTGCCCCAGTTGAGGTCCCCCAGGGACGTGGCAAGCCCCCAGTCGTTGTTGATGCCGATGACGAGCCCAAGAACGTAAGTAGTCATGGCACTTCTATGGTGTCTAGTAATGTGTAGAAGACCACTTGCTTACCCTTGTCTAGTTCAATGAGTCCAAGATCCGCACACTGAGGCCTGTGTTCAAGCCCAAGGACGGCACAGTCACTGCTGCCAATGCCTCACCGCTCTCTGACGGTGCCGCGGCCCTCGTCCTTGCTTCCGAGGAGGCTGTCAAGAAGCACGGCCTCAAGCCCATTGCTAAGATTCTCGGCTGGGGTGATGCTGAGCAGAACCCCTCCAAGTTCACCACGGCCCCCGCTCTTGCCATGCCAAAGGCGCTGAAGCACGCCGGCGTAGAGCTGTCTGCTGTTGATGCTTTCGAGATCAACGAGGCCTTCAGTGTTGTTGCCCTCGCCAACATGAAGATTCTTGGTATTCAAGAGGACAAGGTCAACCTGCACGGTGGTGCTGTCGCGATCGGCCACGCGCTAGGTGCTTCAGGTGCCAGGATCACAACCACACTTCTTGGTGTGCTAAGGCAGAACAAGGGCAAGATTGGATGCGCTGGCATCTGCAACGGAGGTGGAGGTGCTTCTGCCATTGTTGTCGAATCGCTGGAGTAGACATATGATGTTGATAAGGGACGAGTCATGCTAGAGAAAAAAAATAAGTAATTACATACACATACCCAGCCTAGAGCGCGGATTATAGAGGGATAGAAAAGTGCAAGATAGCCGACTACACGTCGCCTGCCTACGTAGCCCTTTGTGATGAGGTGATTGGTTTCAGGGGCGGCGGAACATGTTTGTTCGCTTCGAAAGCGCTAGTGCGAGCGCCCGCTACTGGCTCGCGGCTCCTCTTATGTATTCTATATTCAACCACTCCGCGTTTCAGGTCACCACCAGCGAATCATCGCCAGCCAACTTCGGAAATGCCTCAGGCACAATCGATAACAATGCTCTCTATCCGCAGGGGTCCCGCATCCACCTGTTTCACGCGCCACCACTCGCTTGCCAACAGCCTATCCGTCCATTTTGCATGAAACAGCGCACGTTTGGTTAAACATCCGACCAGCCTGCCTCAGCGCTACCGAACCTCCACCCCAGGCACCTGACTGGTTCCTGCAGCTCCCCTTATTGCGCCTAACCGGGGGACATGCTCGATCCACTTGCAAATCTCCCACCGTTGAAACCAAGCTCATGTGGCCTAACGGGAGATGTACGCTTCCCCGGGCCCATCGAGTCTGTCCGCGAGGCTGCTTATGCCCAAATGCGTGGCTTTTGTGATTAGAGTATCGGCATTTGGCCCCCGTATATAGGTAGGCAGGTCGCATCTCTCCGACCGTCTGGTTGCCGTCCCGTACTCCCGTGCATTCAGTTGTTGCCTCTGTTTCTCTTCACGCGTCTAGTACGCAGTCATTCTTTACTTGATTCATTTTCTCTTGCCATCTTGACGATGCGTTTCTCCACACTCACTTCGGCTGCGGCCTTTTTCCAACTGAGCATAGCTGGCTATGTTCTCGAGGATGACTACATGACCGACTTTTACGGGTCGTTTGATTTCTTCACTAAACCTGACCCAACAAAGGGCTTCGTCAAGTATGTTGATGAGAACACGGCAAGGCAAACCAATCTCATCAATGCGTCTGTCACTACTGGAGCATCATGGGGCGTAGACCACGAGAACGAGTGTCCAGAGGGAAGGCCTAGTATTCGCATAGAAAGCAAGAAGAAGTACAACAGTGGTTTGATTGTCATTGATGTTGCTCACATGCCCTTTGGCTGCGGCACATGGCCAGCGTGAGTATGCCCAAGTATTATTCTTTTGGGGACAAGATGCTCAACATTGACAGATTCTGGACAACCGGACCCAACTGGCCCAACAACGGCGAAATTGACATCATTGAAGGCGTCAATGACCAAGTGAGCAACTCCATGACTCTTCACACAGGTCCTGGCTGCACGATTGGTTCCGACACCACCCAGTTTGCCGGCAATGTAACCACAAAGAACTGCGATGTCAAGGCAAAGGGTCAAATGGATAACGCAGGGTGCTCCATCGCAGACCGATCGACCAAGAGTTACGGTGCAGGCTTGAACGCGAATGGCGGAGGAGTCTACGCAACTCAGTGGACTTCAGATGCCATCAGTGTCTTCTTCTTCCCTCGTGGCTCTGTCCCTGAGGATGTTCTTGGCGATAACCCAGACCCCAGCGGATGGGGAAAGCCGTCCGCCAAGTTTGAGGGTGGTTGCGACATTGACAATACATTCAAGCAGCAACAAATCGTCTTCGACACCACATTCTGCGGTGTATGGGCTGGCAGCAGCAGTGTCTGGGGAGCCAGCTCTTGCTCAAAGAAGGCTGCTACATGCGAGGAATGGGTACAAAACAACCCTGAAGCTTTCGCAGAAGCGTACTGGACGGTCAATGCTTTGAAGGTCTACCAAGACAACGGCGAGGCTCCCGCTCCAGTGCCTTCATCAGCACCTCAGCAGAGCAGTGCTGTTTACGTGCCAGAGCCTGTCCCAACCAAGACAGTTGCCGTGTCTTCTGCACTTGCTAGGCCAACTGGCTTGCCTGCCATCCCAACTTCGGCCATCAAGCCATCTGTATCCAGTGTTGCCGTGCCCATTCCTACCAGCGAGACTGTCTCCGCCTCAGCCTCTGCCCCAATCGCAACCCCTCCCGCCTATGGAGCTCCCAGCGCCCCCAGCATTCCCGGTGCTCCAAGCCCTCCAGTCGAGAGCCCTACCGCTTCCGAAATCGCAGACGGCGCAAAGCCTGTTGCGCCGCCAACCCAGATTGCAGCGCCAGCTCCAGGCCCAGCACCGACGGGCGCAGGTGGCATGCCTGGTTTCCAATGGCCTATAGGTGCTGGTGGTTCCAACAACAACGACAACGACACTGCACCAACATCGGCACCTGCCGTCTCACCTCCTCAAAACACTGGCACACCAACTCAAAACTCCAGTGAGGCCGCCACTGTCCCCAGCCCCACACAAGGCAAACCTCAACCCTCAGGTCCTGCGGCTGCTCCTGAAGCGCCAGTACCCGCACCAGCCCCAACTAGTCCCGCCATTGCACCCGTAGCCGCCCCAGTGGTTCCTGTCGTCACAGACACCGTTCAAGCTGTTTACACCGTCTATGAAACTGTTTACGCTACCGTAACTGCTAGCCCCACTGAAACACCTGCCCCCGCTGCTGCCCTTCCTGCTGCACGAAACGTGCGCATGGCCAGGTTCATCAGGGAGCACAGACAGAGAATCACCAGGCACCATGCCAAGTTCTAGAGTCGCGTATCTTCGAAGAAAATACGGGAACTGGCCGCGTAAGATGGGATTGGGGGAAGAAGGTCAACACTGGTTGTTGACTTTTGGTTTATGATTGGGGTTATGGAGTACATGTGTATACCCCGATGATATCTTCTTTGTAGATACTTTTTCTTCCTTCTTCAAGAGTAGCAATGTATCCTTTTCGTGATCTGCTATACGTATTCTCCACCCTCCCATGTGCCTCGATCGCATCCTTCTTTTTTTTCCTTACTTCTTGCACCGTTGCAGACAGCAATACTCGTATTCTCATTACCCCAATCTTAGGGTGAAGGTTAAGATAGCTGTGTGTCACAATGGAAGGGCTGGATGAATAACAGTAAAACGATGGAAACTAACATACACATTGCAAGCTGACACAATGACACCGTCGAAAGTCACCCAGGAAAAGAAGTACCTCGACTCCGCTACCTTCCATGTCAGTACTTTACCCTCTCGCCAAGCCTATACAGAGAACCACTTTCTACACACGATAGTTCTCTAATCCGTCTTCCTTTCGCAGATCCCACCCCTCAAATACATTACACATCCTTCTACGAAAGCACCATCACCACAACAGATGCTGCAAATAAAACAAACCACACAATACCCCCCCTACATCACAAACCCGACATACATCACAAACCCGACATACATCACAAACCCGACATACATCACAAACCCGACATACATCGCTATACCATTTAATATGTATATCTCATCCACGATGTAGTCGACAGCACCGCAACACAAGTCGCATACTCCGCCACCATCTATCCCGAATACTACACCAGTAAGGCGCACGAATGCGCAAGCTACGGACACCCACACCATTCATAATAGTCTGCTTTGATTGCCTTGTGCGGAAAGTATTAGAGATACTCTGGGTGGCATGGTAAGGAGACGATGACGTTCTTCGTTAAGTGCGGGGATGGGGCTGAGGATGGTAAGGAAGGAAGGGAGTGCATGTTACGATCTCTCAAGAAAGAAAACCTATGGAGGGATGAGGGGATCGGGAAGAAATATTGTCATCTTTGATATGCGGTTTGATAGATGAGAGTTGTATGATAGTTATATGTAAGTTAGGTGTTTTCTTACTTGCAAGAAGCTCGTTCTAGACTATCCACAATTTGATTTAAAAAAAATGTTTTTTTGGACAAATTGTCTAAGAGCGAGAGCGATTGAATCAGCAAAAAAAGAAAATTGCAAAATGTGGACGCTGTGGGAATTGAACCCACGACCTTTCACAAGTACGCACGGAATATGCGAAGCGAAAATCATACCCCTAGACCAAGCGCCCGGTATTAGGTAATCGTTGCAAGAATGTTAAATTAGTTGAATTATATTTGGATTTGATGAACAGGATAGTGAAATGAAGAATTTCTGAGAGCTGATGGCATCAGACACTGACAAGCAGTCACATGGTGGTTATAGAGAATGCCAAAATGAATTGGCGTAAGAGAGCCGCTTGCGTGGAGGCAGATAGCGCATGAGGATTTTGAAACGCAGAAATCAAATATAGATGTCACCTCGCGACAATTCTTTTCAGTGAAGAAAGAAAAAAACATCATATGACTCTACCAGATACTTGAGAGTCTTCTCAGCGCAAACAGATAACTTCCTGCGTTTCCCCCTCCCTCAATATCTCTAACTCTTTCCTACCCATCTTCGCTACCTTTGTAACACCCACACGACGAAAAGCTCTATACTCTACTTTCCCCTTGCCCGGCTCACTTGACTCAAGCACCACACTACCTTCATACTTGAGCATTAAGCAGTACAAATCCCGAACTTCATCTCGCATGGTACGATTGGCATATGCACCTGGCATGCAATACAACTGGGGGTCAGGACCAAAAATGTCGGTGTCGGAATTTGGGGCATCGATGTGTACGTTGGAGTATTCGTGCCGGAGCTCGGATTCTGAGTTGGATTCTAGGTGCCACGTGTAGACTATGTTGTGACCAACACGGCGCTGTATGAGATTGATGGCGTGGAGGTGGGCGGGAGCGAGGAGTATGTGGGCGGATTTTAGCATGCCGAAGGGGTTGTTTGGGTCGGCGGGGGAGACGGTGTGGGATATGACTTTGAAGAAGATGGATTTGATATGTTTGTCTTGCAGTGAGGCGTAGTCTGTGATATCGCTGTAGGTTATTCCGTGTGGAGTGGTGATGGAGGCCCAAGACCATGAGGGTCCGCTTTCCGAGTGACGTTGCCCTGGATTATCATATGTGTCGTTGCCGCGGTAGATTTCGTTTACGGTCCATAGCAGTTGGCTTTCGATGTGGCGACTCCATAGCCCGGCGACATATGTCTGACTGTGGTCTGGGCTGAATAGTTTGTCTTGAAAAAGTTTTGCTAGGCCGCCCAATGCAATGAGTTTGTCATTGTGCTTTGTGAGTTGTGCTCTTGAATAGCTTTCCACTATTTTCTTCCATAGTTCATAGATGTATATGTCTTTGATATGCTTGTCGCGATCTAGAAAGCTGCTTAATCTCGCTTCACGGAATGAGCGCCCCGCAGAGACTGTGAGGTGCTTCAGGTGACTTCTGTCGGTAAAACCGTCGGTACCGGACGGCTTGATTGCTAACTCATTCCAGGAGTAACTTTCACTGCTGTTGAACTCGTGACATTCCCAGGCCAGCTGGTTGTATCCAAAGTGGAGTACACGAGGCGCTAACAATCGCTCCTGGAAGACCCAGGCTCGTTGATTAACTGGAGCGTTCTCGACGAGGTCATCCCAAGCTGATGTATCGATCAAAGAGCATCTTAAGTAGGCATCGGTCTTTTCAATACCGTTTTCCAGTGTAGAATAGGGGTGTTCCGGATGATACACATCAATATTATTTTCTCGAAGAAGTTCTGGGCAGGGGTCGAAAAACAAGCCTCCTTTTGTGTCATATGCAGCAGTAGCAGATATGTTCAGAAAAGCCTTTCGATAAACATTTCCCATATGACGAATTTGTTCGAACCAGTCTCGGAGCTGTTCCTCCTCATTTTCACCATCCCCTTTGATAGGTTGTCGGATACACAGCGAGTCGATCCATATGAAGCCGACCTTTTCTAGTCCTGCGGCGAACACAACAGCATCTCGGAATGTCTTGGGTAGCTCCTTCACCATGATGCCCTCCGTTTTGAAGCGCTCTTCGTTTTCAAAAGTCATGCTCAGCGGTGGTGGCGAACCAAGCTTCGGGTTTCCCCAACAATGGCTCAGTGTGACGTAACGATCATTCCGATCCTTATATAGGAGGCGATCAGATACAGCCCATACATCTTGCTCGATAATACAGTCTCTAGACTCAACCAGACGTATTCTTGTGTTGTGTGGATCAGGGTTGGTGCGCAGCTCCTGCAAATCTAGTAGACGACGAGGGTACCATTTTGCGCCAGGCTCTTCCCAAAAACTTGCGCATTTACAAACTTTCATCCAATTTTGTGCTGTTTTTGTGAGATCACTCATGGTTTGATTACTGGCCATAGTTTGGTCTTTGTGATCTACCAATGTCAGATAATTTTGTGATTGTTTTCAGGTGCTTGCCTACCTGTTTCTACCAATAAGAAATTACATTCGCGATTGTTTCCGAGCTGGAAATCCAGCCTGAAAGTTCTTCTGCCGATCTTCTTACTGTAGGATTTTTCCTTGTTTAGTGATGCCAGGATGTGTAGAGGCTGATCTTGGGAGAAATCTGTATCCGGACTCAGCGTCATGGCCAGTTTAGTACATATTGGACAGTGCATGTCCCATGAATGTTGAAGTGCCTTTGTAGACCTATGATGAACAGATACATATCCGAAAATGGAAGACTTGTTGGCTCCATTGTGCTTGCTGAGTACACCTGTGCACACTCCACAAAGCATATTTAAGTGTATTAATCCGATTGCAACTTGATGGCAGGACGTATGGCGAACGATTATATATTCCTCTCCTGTGGTGAAGTTAGTGCTTGCATTCTGATATCCTTTACAAGATCTTTCATGATAGGATCTGCGAATCTGCGCGTAGCATACTCTGAGTATCGCGGTGCTTAAGGTCTGAATTTTGACGAGCCGTGCAGCGTTGTTTTTACCACTTCTCTCTCCAAAAGTGGCATATAGTCTAGAGAATTTGTTCAGCAATTCTCATATTTGCATGCGCTGAATTCAACTTCCGATTGTATACTCTCAAAAGCTCAGCCATGTGCAGACGTTCATCCGAACCACCATGCCACGTGGCCCGTGCATATGCGTAGTGCCCCTCGTCTAAGTACCCTCCTTCAGCAAAGCAATGAGATAGAATATGACTAGTAATCCATCAAAACGCCCGCCATTCTCCTCTGATACTTCTCAACTACCTCTTGACACCTAACCACCACACCCGCCGCAAGCACTCTCACCTTCTCGTCCTCCTCACTCCCAGCGCCCAAGCCGTCGAAAACCATCTTGACCCAAGCCTGCGTCTCCATAAGCTCTTTGCCTTGCTCAGTAGCAAGTCGCTCTTTATTCTCGTTCGTTTCCAACAACATCAGGAAACCGAACAAAACGGCATTGAGTATGTTCTTGTCCTTACTGGCCAAACCGCGGACCGAGAGTAAGAGATCCCAGTACTCGCGTGTCATCTGAGGTAGTGCAAGAGTATTCGGGCCTGATGCATTGAGGAGTATAGAAAGGGTTTGGAGGAATGGTGGTAAGAGGTGGGTGGAAGTGTAGATGGAGTCATTGTTAGCGCGAACTTGCAGCCACCAGCGTCCGGTAAGAGGGAAGAAGAAGTTATCCGCGACAATTTGAGCGAGAGCATTCGGAATCGGCTTATGTCGCTTCTTTTCTACCTCCATACGCGAAGAAAAGGTTCGTACTTTGAGGATGTTGGGCCCACTGAGTTGGTCGGCTGCTTGTGATGCAATTGGGGAAAGCATTTCACGTGCCATATGGCTCGATATCTTCGCTACTGATGGCCCATTTTTGTCTTCCGCATACATGCCGTGGAGATTTGGCGGAAGCTGCTTGCTAGGAAAGTCTGGTTTTGCGGGTATCATGTCATCGGTTGAAGCATCTTTCATTCCTGCCAGCTCGCGCGCTCCAATACCAAGGGTCGTGAGCATAGCTATGCGTTGTTGCAGACTGTAGTCGCCAGAGAAGAAAGACCGGGCAAACCACTGCGCCATCTGCGCTGGTTTGGCAAGCAGGACAGCAATTAGAGCTTGCTGTCTTTGTTGCGCAAACTCTTCTAGCTCTGAATTATCTTGCAGACTTGTAAGTATTGTAGCAAGTTCCTCCAGATGATCAGTCACTTCAGTTCCAAAATTTGCTTTGCGACGGATCAGAGATGCAGCCGTGGCTAAAGCGAGCTCGTGTCGGTCATAATTTTCTTGGTCGCGAAGGCCAGCGATAAGATCCCGTATGTAGACGGGCGCTGTGGGTTTATTGCGGTTGATGGCTGTAGGATCATCTGTGTCGTCCTCCGGGTCAGAATCTGGTTTATCGTACATTATCAAATCTGCATCCTCGTCTTCCGAATCAGACATGATTTCAATGACCCGTGGTCCTTGTATTTCGGTTATCGCTGGAGATTTTAAGGTCTTGGGAAGTGATTTCGGTTTCGGATGCGTCTTCTTCACTAAGACTGCGCTGCTCTGCTGGGTCTTGAGGTCTGTAGCATTTCCAACTTTGTCGTCGATGTTGGTGAGCCGCTCATACCAGCTTGCTTCTTCAGCTTCTGCACCCTCCAGCTCAATCTTCAGTTGCAACTCAGGTTTATCTACCATCTTGGAGATAGCAATACCGACAGATATTCCTAAGAAACGGGCTCGCGCAGACGCAGCGCCGATGCGGTTTGACATTCCGTTGACATGATGAGACGACTTTGCCATCATGGTAAGAAACATAGGTTCTGAACGCTTGACATAGCCACTACATAGTGCCAAAGTTTGAGCAAGAGCTGTGTTTTGTTAGAGAGTTTCTTGGTAGAGCTAAATCGCTACTCACCTTCTTGTTGCAATACTGGGGTATGCCTAATATAGACTGAATCTCCAAAGAGTTTGATTAGATTTTCCAAAAGGGTATGTAACTTGTCTATGGCTGTCAGTACTATTCACGTGCATGAATACTGGCATTGCTTACCATGATCTTTCGACAAAGCAGCTACGACACTTCGCCGAGCTGACAGCGAATCATCTAGTACGGGTATTGTTGATCTTGTAAGTGTTGAGATAAGGTGTTCTTTGAGGACATCGTTATCTTTAATTAGACCATGAAACAAACCAGCAGCAGCCTCTATAACAGGAGAGGATGCAATCGGCGAGTCTTTGCTGACGACTTTGTTTGAGAAATACTGCTTGGCCACAAATGTGATGATTGCATTCATGTACTTGCGCTGCTCAAAGGTCTTCATGTGCGACAACAAACGCACGAGATGCTCAACGCGAGCATCGCTGGTTATTGTCAGAAGTAGCGAGCTCACAATTTGATCTAACTGGTCAGCACCATTCAAAAACTCGATCAGACAACTTACCTGTGTAGCCTAACCCCAAGGCCTTAGAGCAGAGTTCTGCGGTAGCAGTGAGGTGATCATCGCTTTCGGACCCGCGCTCTAGCAAAACAGCTGTGTTCCGGCCTAGCCATTCTGCGTACTCCTTGCCTTCTGCAAGCCAGATGGAGACTCTTGGTACGTCATTGTTTTTCTTCAGAACATCCTCAGCCTCTGCTGCAATCGAAAGTAGACGTCCCGATATTACTTGGGCAAGATACTCTTTCCATATAAGCTTCTTCTGTATGGCGTTCTTGCCGAACAGCAGAACTTCTTGCAATATGAGAAAAGACGTCTCATTGCCACGTAGTGTCAGATCTAAGACCTCTAGCGCATCTAAGATGTGTTCGGTTGTATTCCGCTCTTCTCCGGGTTTCTTTTTCTGACGACTATCCGCAATGAGCGACCGTAGTCTTGTGACAATATGTCCCAGACTCGTTGGATTTCGAAGAATTTTTCCAATCTTCTTTGATTCTTTTTGTCCTTTGATTAATCTCCAGTAGTTGGGAATGGTATCGTTCACAAGCTGATGTGCGATGCTTGCATTGAGTGGGTCCGGAAGTAAGAGGCTAAACCCTTCTGTAGTGAGGTGATCCAGTACACTGTTTACGACTGTCCGACTAGGCTGATTTTTCAACGCTTTCAGTGCTGATTCTGCAGAGTCGATGGTCACTGCATCATCTTGTGCATTTAGGCTCCCAACTTCTTGGATGAAAGGCTCGCTACTGTTGATCTTGCTAGTAGAAACCGCCGTTAAGAGATCAGCCATAGTATCTGGATCATCTAGGCAAAAAGGTAAATGGGTTTGTCAAGAGTCGTGGCTTTACTAATCCTTTGCAATGTTGCGTAGCGGGAGATGCGTAATGTACTGTACCCAATCGGCGATTCCTTCCCATGCGCAGACCCGCATGCTAGCGTCTTGGCGGGCCGTCTACACTCTGATGCCTACACCTACTGTTTACTCTGTTGGACTAATCTCACATCAAACTTCTACACGTTTACCGAATATGGCTGTTAACGTCAACGATATGGGGGCTGCATCAACAGCCAATCCCCGCGCCCGATGGTAAGCTACAGAAAACCGAAGATGCCCAAGCTCAGCGCTGATATCACGCAATAGGAAGTACCTCGATAGGTTCTTGACTCGGAAGGGACCTTTTACAGATGAGGATAGCTTCATGGCTGGTGAACAAGTCATTGAGTACCTAAGTAATCTCAAAGTTCTGTAAGAATGTTGTGTTTGTAACGACACAAAACGTTAGCTAATCCGATGCAGCGTCATGTGAGTCTATCATCAAGCCATACGGAAACCGCCCCTTCCATCCATCATGTTTCCTGACAATATGCAGCGGAGCTGGTGGTCTAGGGTGCGAAATCCTCAAAAACCTTGCCCTCTCTGGTTTCAAGGACATCCACGTAATCGATATGGACACGATTGACGTCAGCAACCTGAATCGGCAATTCCTCTTTCGGGCTTCAGATGTAGGAAAGTACAAAGCAGAAACCGCAGCTGCATTCGTAGAAAAACGTGTCAAGGGCGTCAAAATCACTCCGTACTGCGGCAAGATCCAGGACAAGGACGAAGCGTACTACATGCAATTCGGCCTCATTGTTTGCGGCCTAGACTCCATTGAGGCAAGACGCTGGATCAACGCCACGCTTGTGGGCATGGTAGACGAGAACGACCCGGATTCTATGAAGCCGTTGATCGATGGCGGCACAGAGGGCTTCAAAGGGCAAGCACGTGTCATCTTCCCCACCATGACTTCGTGCATTGAATGCCAACTAGACATGCATGCGCCCCGCGCTGCAGTGCCTCTCTGTACACTCGCCACTATTCCCCGGCAGCCGCAACATTGCATTGAATGGGCACACATCATTGCGTGGGAAGAGGAGCGCAAGGATATCACCCTCGATACAGACGACCCGGAACACATCACCTGGCTCTTCAACAAAGCCACTGCCCGCGCCAAGGAATTCAACATTGATGGAGTAACATACAGCATGACCCAAGGAGTCGTCAAGAATATCATTCCAGCAATTGCCAGTACAAACGCTATTGTAGCAGCAAGTTGCTGCAATGAGGCGTTCAAGGTGGCAACCAACAGCAACCCTTTCCTGGGCTATCCCGGTATGGACAATTACATGATGTATACCGGAGACGACTCTGTCTACACGTATACGTTTGAGCACCAGAAGAAAGACGACTGTCCTGTATGCGGTGCTGGAAACATTGCGCGACCCCTCCAGGTCCTGCCTGGCATCACGCTGCAAGAGTTTATTGAGGGGTTGGCGGAACGTCCAGAAGCGTACGTTTTCATCTTTACATTTGCTACATAAGAATATTGTACTAACAACACGACATAGGCAACTCAAGAAACCCTCAATTCGCACAGGTGAAAAGTCGCTCTACATGCAGCTTGCAGGTCTGGAGGAGCAGACGCGGCCCAATCTGGAGAAGAAGATGGTTGATTTGGTCGAGGAGGGCGAGGAGTTGCTTATTACGGACAAGAGTTTCCCGACGCAGTTCAAGTACAAGGTTGTGTGGGCATCGAAATAGGGCTGGGTAGAAATAAATTTCCTATTCGAACAGGCCGAGTAGGAAGATGATTCGTAGTACAGCCATAGACTATACTGCATACGAAATAAACATAAATGACCGTCTCATGTCCCACCCATATCCTTTGATTGCCTCTAGATCATACAAGTATCATCCACATACCCCAACTCTCCCTATTGTACAACAACCTCCTCCTTCTTCTCTACACCTTTAACCTCCACCGGCTCAGTCTCCTCCTCAATGACCTCCTGCCCAAACGGCTCAGCATCTCCATCCAACACCCTTCGTACCTTCAAATGCGCCTCAGCACCAAACATGCCAACAACCCCAATCCTCTTCTCAAGCGGCCCCCAAATCTTAACCGGCGGACTCTCCCCCTTGAAAAGTTCTCGCCCCGCATGTATCAACTCATTCGCCGCAAAGCTCCCCTTGGCATACTTGGGCTCATACGGCACACGATCCCACTCTTTGCGCTGGAGACGAAGCAACTGCTGTGTCATAGCATCTGAAATGGTATCCCCGAGCTCTACATCCGCGAGTTTTGTGCTCATCGTCTCGTCGCCGCCCGACGTCTTTTCTCGGCGCTTGGGCCCCGCTTCGCCGCGGTTGTTGCCCGCTGTGCTGCGTTTACCGCCGCCGGCGGCACCTGGTCTGCGGGCGTCGCGACCACGTAGGTTGGGACCGCGAGTGGCGCCGTTTGGTGCTGAGCGGCTCATTCGCAGTGTGGAGGGGGCGCGGACCATTTGGCCTGGTGGAGGGGCCGAGCCGCGGGTTGTCCTTGGGCCTGCGGTGTTGCGGGCAGCGCGGGCGCTGGCGTCTTGCTGGGTGGTGGCTGGGTCACCGTCTTCGGGGATGAAGCCGTATTCGTTTGCTTGAGAGGTGGGCGAGCGCGGGGTTCGTCGTAGCATTTGGCCGCTGGGGAAGGAGCCTCGTGCGAGTGCGCCGGGCTGGCGGCGGTATTGCAGCGAGGCGATTTGCTTGAGGGCTGCGGCTGAACGTACTCTGCGGGAGTTTGTCGCTGCATTTTGTTGTCAATACAGCGGTTCTGGGGCGGGCAATTGAAAGATGGAAGACGTACACTGGGCGGGCGACGCATCGCTGGGTTGCTCTTCCAGCCTCCTCCCCGAGCTGTGCAGTGCTCTCGATGAGCAAGCTTGTACCGAGGCTACATCTGCTCCCAATGAGCGCCGCAGCGCACCCATTGAAGCGTACATTTGTCGCTGAGCCATGCCAAAATGGATGGCAATTGATTGTGCGGTTGCAACGCTCAACTCCAAACTTTCCGATCGCGAAGTCTTGGCAGAAGCAGGGATCTTTGGTCCCAAGTTAAACACTCCGCACCACGTGCTCTGTGCTTCACTCTGCCATATGACTTGGCGTTTATACATTCACCACAAAGAACACCCATCCCATCTCCACCTCCTTAAACAACCCTTTCATTCGTTGACCTGTAAACTTTACTCCCAACCCACCACTCTCACCGCCATCCAACCCCAACCCTCCTACACATATCATCTCTCTGGGACGCCATATCTCTCTAACCGCCCTCCTCCACCCAACCAAACCGCCCACCTTGCCACACCTCACTCACATCCCACACACTACACACACACACACCCATCTTGACTTTTACCCAGCCAAATAAAAAACCATGCTCCGCCGCACCCCCACGACAATCACGCTCACGCAAAACGACATTGAGCAGTGGGAAGCGGTGCGCCAGCGCAAGTTGTACGAGGCCAAGCAGCAACAGGCGGAGCAGGAGCAGCAGGCTGCGAGTCGGGAGGAGGCCAAGGCGAGGAGTAAGAAGGATAGGATTATGGGGGCTTGAGAATGTGGGGGTGTTTGTATCTTTTGTATTTCCACTAGGGGTTCCAAGAGTAAGGGGGGGAGGGAAAGGAGGAGGCAATAGACTTGTTTACCATATTCACGCCGCAAAAAGATCCTCCTCGTATTACCCAAGTAATAGAAGAGATCATACAGTATATCAGCAACCAATCGATACACCGCATTGCAAATGCAAATGCAAAAAAAAAGTCGAAGTGTACTTTTTCATCACAGCATTAAAATTACCACATTACAAAAAAAAGACCTAGAAAACTAGGTCCCCTATCTACTGTAGCAAAGATATCCGCCTCGGGGGGCGAAAAATAAGAGTTTCATGCATGCAAAAAAGAAAAAAAACGGAGAGCAATAAGAGTTTGAACAAAACTGCACAAGCATCATAACAAGGGAGGGAGTGACCAAAAGAATACAGACAGACATAGAAACCAGAAACAAAAAAACAGAGAATCCCTCGGTATATCCCCTATTTCCCTTTCCCATCCATCATGATAATCCATCCCTCTCTCGCTCAAAAAGGAAAAGAAAGCAACGCCATGTAGAAAGAAAAAAAAAGAACGCCAAGAGGATGCTTCAAGCACAACAGCGGTGGAAAAAGGAATGACATGCGGCCAGCGGATCTCCAGTGTCAAAACCGCCTGCGGCCCCCTCCGTTCCTTCCTCCCCTTTCTCCAATGTTGAAAGCAAGAGAGCTCTGTTATTTCCCTCTCCCAGCATAAAAAAAACAAGGATTTCATCAATTCATCGTCATGGTTTGTGGTTTGTGTGGCACACAAGCCACACGGCCACTTCCTGCTACAAAGCTCTTATAGCAAGCACAACCCCGGGGTATATCAAATCCTTTCACAGAGAGAGAGCGCGCGCTGGTCAAAATCAGCGCGTATCGATCCGGCTCTTCTTAATCCTTGCTGAACCGCTTCTTAAGCCAGCTCTTGCGCTTTTCACCTGCATTGCTGCTGTTCTTGGACAGCATCTTGGGACGTGATTGCTCGGCGGCCGGGGCATTACCACTGTCCAATTTGATGGGGGCTGGTGCAGGTTGCATGGCGTGTTTCGGGGGTTGCGGGGGTGAGCCGTTTGAATAGGCGCCGTTGTGTTGGGGTGGAGGCGGTGCTGCGCCCTGGTAGGATTGACCGGGGCGCTCGCCAAACTCCTCGAGAATGGGACCTCTGCCAAAGTTATTAATAAAGGCGTATTGGGATGACAAATCTTGCTGGGGTGGCTGGACGGGTACGCCGCGTTCGATTGAGCTGTTCTCGCTGCTGGGGTCGTTGGAGTAGGGGCCGTCGCTGTGGCTACCGTTGGAGCCGTTGGTATGTACCGTGTCGCGGGACTTTTGGTATCCGTTCATGGGATAGACGCCCTGCATACTCTGCCTGTTGGTCCATCCCGGGTCCGACTGCATCCGGTTCCCGTAGCGCATCCGTGGAGGTGGTGGTCCTCCGCCAACAGGTCCGCCATAGCCGTGACCGTCTGCATAGCTATCGCGACCATATTGTCTCTGGGGAAAGTAGCTGGCATTGGACTGACGGTTCTGGTCATTGTAGCCTCCGCCATAGTAGCTGCTCCGTCGGCTTCCATGGTCCGTGTTGTCGACGCGCATAGACTGCGACCGACGCCTGTATTCGCCATCAATGGCAGCTTCGAAAGAGCGGATCGTGTCGAGCGGGCGCTCCCATCTAGAACGAGTGGGATTGGAGAGATCCGGATCGACTGTGGGCCGTTTGTTAGATTGTGATGCTCGAATGCGCGGTAGCAGTGAGGACGGCAAAAGAACAAAAGCACAACATACCAATTGGGTTACCGGAAGAATCGGTATGCTGGAATGAGCGTAGAGATTGAAGGGTAGGCTTCTCGAGCGCAGCGGCAACTGGGTACACAGCGGTCAGCAAAGGCCATGTCGAGCGCTCAACAAAAGCAGGGTCAGGTAAGGGCCAGGCAGTGCAGGACCACAGAAAGGGCAGCAGAACATACTAGGCTGTAGCTCGTTCATAGCGTTATTTGGATCCGCCTTTGAATTGGGGTCAAGATGCTCGCTGAACTTGCGCTCGTGCTTGGAGGAGGGACTCTTTGGGCTCTTTGGGCTCTTTGGCGCGGGCGGGTCGCGACTTTTGTTGCTGTGGAAGCTGAGGCCTCGCTGGCGCGGTTTCTGAGTCGGGTTCTCCATTGTAAAAGCGGAGTCAGGTTCGGTTGGGGGGGGGAGCGCGCGCTTCAGTTACCCAGTTTTTTTTCTACTTTGTCTTTCCTTTTTTGATTTCCCTGTTTTTAGGACGACGATTACACTTTGCTCCAAGAAGGCTGGCGGCGGACGGGTATGGCGGACCAGGTCTGTGAGTGGGCGGCGGGTGTGGACGCACGCGAAAGTGATCCCGGCGCGACAAGATGTGGGTAGTGTGGGTAGTGGGTTAAATGATAAGGCGAGTAGGACGGGGCTATGGCTATGACAATGGGTGTCGCAAGAGCAGACGAGGGATGTAAGAGAGATGGCGGCGGCGATGTGAGCGGGAGAGACGAAGAAGTGGGTGGCCGGGACAGCAGATGGTACTTGTGGGTTTGTGGCATAGGGCAGGTCAGGTAAAGTAAGCTGCGAATACGACGCGCGGTACGTAGAGGCCTCGCCATTCCGGCCCTGCGACTTACCCACGACGACTCGTCATCAACGGCGCCGCCCAGCTATCCCGATTGGAGTCTAAGACGATCTACGCCCACAACCGATCCACTTTCTGAAACGCAGAGAGCAGAGCCCTGGTGCGGAGCTTGCTTCGGACCTGGGCCAAGCAAAGACAACGGACAGATGCAAACGGACAGTCGGCAGATGAGCGCCGTGGGCTTACCGTCTTATCTACACGCCCTCCTTCACTCCAGACATGGACTGACGAGCGACACACAACGAGTGCATACTGCTACACACACACTACATCCATCGATCCACACCATCTGTCACGCCAGCAGCCAGCGAAACCCGATCCCCTACGGCCACATGTGGGAATCGCCCGATAGCATGTACATAGACTGCACAAATTTAGACAGCTTCGATAGTCCGTCTGCCAGATGGGGTCTGACTACCCGCACGCCGGTCCCAGCCACAATGATCTGACCTTGCTGCGTTTGCCATGATCCAAAAACCTGCCCAGCCTCCGTCGCCTCCGCCACTCTATTGTGCCAATTCGACAAGTCGACAAATAAAACAATGGAAGGGAGAAAAGGCCCCCGGAAGAAGTCCCTTTCTCTCTCTCTCTGCCTTGATTCACAGCAATCAATTGAGCCGCCCGCCCATCCACCAAAGGGCAAACCGCCAGCCCAGCACAACCACCCAAAGTGCCAAGCCCTTACCCCAGCCCAGTCCGCCAGCAACAACAAAAAACAACTCCCCAAAGGGTACACTACACACGCAAGCTACCCTGCACACACACACACCCTCTGCATCAGCACTTGCATAATACTCTCTCCTCCCTCCCACCCCCTCTTCTTCTACCCTGTCCATTACCCAGCAGCTCCCCCTTCCCCTCCCTCTGTTTTCAAATCCCCCCTCTCTCTCAAAAACACTTCCCCCGGCGCTATTCACGCAATCCCCCCAAAAATCAAGAAAAAACCACCACACCCCAACACCCAGCCCTAGCGTCGCCAACCCTTTGCCAACCCCCAGCGCCATTGCCAGCAATCACCCGCCCCTTACCCACTCCACTAACTTTTCCCCTTAGCAAAACCACGCACACCCAGCCTGCCAACGTGTTTTGTGTACACACACACATAAACGCGGGTAATGATGACATGGGGGGTGTCTTTACTCCAACCCCCCTCCCCCCCGATCGGCGATTTGCCCTAGCCTTCTACACTACAGCGTATACGTACTAAAGTGCAAGACGGCGCGCCCGCGCGTATGCGTATAAGAAAAAGGTGGTCCTTGCATAATCTCGCTTTTCGCCCACGGGGGGCGCGCGCTATCAAAGCGAAAGAAGGCATGGGCTGACTGACTGACTAACTGACGTTTCTTGCATACATATTATACGCCACACGTCGTACCTACGTATATACATACATATATATATATATATAGATTGAAAGGTTAGTACAGAAAATGCACAAAATGTACTGGCAGGTCAATCAAAGGTAAGACTTGATGAAATTATATTTCTCGTTCGGACCGGAAGAGCATTTTGGAGGGGGGGGGGGGCAGGCACAGGGGGGAGAGAGCTTGTTCCGGGTGGAGCCGAATCACTTTCCCTTTGTCTCCCAAGCTCGTTTAGTGAGAGTTTTGGGGGGTGGGGGGAGGTGAGCGAGTGATATGACCTCACCTGTTTTCCCTTTTTTTTTTGTTTTTTACCGATTTCGCCGATGGGTGGGTGGGGGAAGTGGCTGAGTCACGTGTCTTTTCTTTACTTTTAAACGGGGAAAGGTTCGGGGAGGGGGGGACTTGGCATTTGACCTGGCTGACTCTTTTTTACATCAGAGTGTAAAAGTAAGAGAGTAATTCGATGTAGAAGGGTCAGAAATCTTGCGAGATTAAACAGCAATTTCCACAAATTCACGTAAGCTTATGGGTTTTTTTTTCTAGAATTCAAGGTTTTCCAAGTACTAGATGGTGGTTCATTTTAACTTTCTGCTTCCAGCTCAGCCGTTAGATTGTTTTCTTTTTCTTTTTCTTTCCGTAGTTGGTCCCCTTTTGTGAATATAACCAAGAACGCCCACAAGAGAGGCCGTGCAACATCAAAAAAAAATAACCAAGTCAGATCTTGCTTACTTAACTCTGAGTCGGCATGTTGACTGATGCCTTTGTTGCGACTGCGTCTTCGCTCCTCCACAGACTTGTCACAGTCTTCTGCTGTGTGTAGAACAATAGACCTGGCTTGCCGTAGAATGTGTTTGCGCCACCACCTGCAACCGACTTCTTATTGCCGGTGAAGGAGAACATGGGGAGCTGCGCTTTTGTTAATATCCATTCGTATTCATCGAGGCTAGCCGGTACACTTACAGGGACTGGAATCGGCACATTGATACCAACTTGACCTGCCTCAATCTCGCGCTGGAAACGGCCGGCAGTTGCCCCCGAGCGGGTGAAGATGGCGGTACCGTTTCCGTATTCGTTTGCGTTAATCATGTCAATGGCCTCGTCAATCGTCTCGACATTCAGGCACACCAGCACTGGCCCAAAGATTTCCTCCTTGTAGCACTTCATGTGGGGCTTGACGTTGGCGATAATGGTAGGGCCGACCTATGACCTCAGTTAGTCTGATGTACTCCCCCAATCCCCACAACTACTTACCCAATTGCCATTGGCATACTTCTCAGACGGAGGCTTTTGGCCACGTCCGTCAAGGAGAATAGTCGCACCCTCCTCCTCAGCACTAGCAATCAAGTCTTCGATTCTCTTCTTAGACTCTGGGCTGATGACCGGTCCAAGATCGGCGCCGTCTTCGAAACCACCGTTCATGGAAAGGTCCTTTGCGCGCTCGGCAATTTCAGGAACCCAGTCCTTTGTCTCACCAATCATGACCAAGGTGCTCAAAGCCATGCATCGCTGCCCGGCAGCTCCGAAAGCAGCACCGGCAATAGCATTGAGTGCATGGTTCTTGTTGCAGTCGGGAAGCACAGCAGCGTGGTTCTTAGCCCCCAAGTTGGCCTGTACACGTTTGCCCTGGGCAGATGCGCGTGCGTAAATGTATTCTCCGGCCTTGTTGCTTCCAACAAAGCTGATAGCCTTGATGCGTGGCTCGTCAATGATGAAGTCGACAGTCTTTGCCGAACCGTGAATAATGTTGATGACACCAGGAGGGAAGCCGGCCTTCTCGGCAAGCTCAGCCAGAATCATACACGCACCGGGATCGCGTTCCGAGGGCTTGATAACAACAGTGTTACCTGTCACAGCGGCGATGGGAATAGTCCAGAGCGGGATCATGGCGGGAAAGTCTTGCCCAATACATTAGCAATATCCTTGCGTTGCACCTCAAGTCTTGTACTCACTAAAAGGGCAAATGGCAGCCACAACACCCAGTGGCTCCCTGTAGCTGCGTGTCTCCATGTCCTTGGCAACCTCGAGCACTTCGCCCGTCATCTGGGTTGTGATACCGCACGCCGTCTCCGCGACTTGCAGGCCGCGAAGCACATCACCTCGGGCGTCAGCGAATGTCTTGCCCTGTTCGAGTGTGATACTGGCTGCCAGCCTGTCCCAGTTCTCGCGGATCAAGTGTGTGTACTTGAACAAGATCTGCTGTCTGTGAAGCAAGCTCGTCTCCTTCCATGGTTTGAAGGCCTTCTCGGCGCTGTCCACGGCCGCCTTGAGCTCCTCATCCGTGCTTTGTGGAACCCGTGTCACCAGGTTGTTGGTCGCTGGGTCGTGCAGATCAATCCATTGTGTAGCCTTGGAGGCGACAAACTGGTTGTCGATAAAGTTCTGTGTGTCTGCCGGCGATTGGATTGGCTCGTGGTTCATGGGGTACGATTCGGCCGCTGCAGACGATGCTGGCTTCAAGTGCTGAGCGGTGGCATGCAGCCGCCGAGCAGCAACCTTGCTTTGATTGATGGGAGTCGACATTCTGGTGAATAGAGGAGTTGCGCGAACCAAGGACGAACGGGCGGTCAGCGTCGGGAGGCGGGCCAGCGCTCGGCGGGAGGCCATATTGCTCTAGGGCAGTTGCCGGGTCGAGTGTGGGGGAATGCGTTGCGAGAGTTCAAGACCGACTCGAGGAGAAACCGAGAAAGTCCTGCGACGCAATCCACAAGGCGAATTGAACTATATTATCAGAGAGAACACGTCCACGTGTTATCCAAAAAAGCACCTCTACCTGTTAAGGGAAACTTGTTCCGAGCTACCGTCTGTAACCAACCGTCGGAGCTCTGGAGAAGGGGGCCCCGCAGTCCACTCCCGAGGTAGCCCTGGCTATCCAAGGCTTATCCTCACCTCCGCGGCGTCTACCGCGTCTGTGTGGTCTGCGGCGTCTAACGGGGTCGTACACTACTACCACGCGTCCTCAACACCACCTCTGCACACCATACGAGCACATTTCGGTTTCAATCACGTTGCGTGCATCATTCAATGTGTATTGGTTCTTCAGAAATTGCCTGCTTCATTTGCCTAGTATTAGATCACGACACGGTAGCAATAACGCCATGGAACTCAAAATGTTATATAACCACAGTTCTGAAAAAAAAAAGTCTTCATGCCGGGTCGGGTGAATCCTCCCAGACCAAAGTCGCATTCGCGAGGCATTCATGTTTTCCACATCCCACACTCTCTCAACTAGACATGCCTTTTCCAACAACACCGCTGTTCACTATCTATGAGGCATTGGCCTTTGTGTTACGCTTGTTGACCTCGGCCTGAGCCTTCTCAGATCCAGTAGCGACAGCCTCGGCAGCCTTGTCCTTGGCCTTTCCGGCAGCATCCTTTGCCTTCTTGGCCTGGGCCTTGACCTGCTCTGCTGAGGGAGCACCACCAGATCCAAGAAGAGCAGTGGCAAGGATGGCAATGATGGTGACGGCTAGAACGCCGATACCGCCAGCAACCTCGGGAACAAACTTGATGGCCTCAACGGGATCACGCTTGGCAATCTCGACAAAGAGGTTGAACTTCTCCTTGACATAGAGAACCGGGTCATCCTGGAAGACGAGATCAGAGGGCGACTTGGGCTTATCCTCCGACTTGGGCTTGGTAGCCGCCTCCTCTGCCTTCTCAGCAGGGTGCTTGATGTCAAATGTCTCAGCCTTGAACTTCTCGGCGTCCTCGATGGAGTGGCCAATGTAGATGTTGTCAAAGAGAATGTCCTTGGACATGGTCCAGATCTCGAAACCAATCTAATGCAATGTTAGCGAGAAACTACAACATATTCGACGTAGAGGAACTTACAGCGCCAATGGGCTCAAAGTTGGCCGGGGTCTTGTCCTCAAAGTAGTTAGGGTTGGCAATCTTGCGGGGAGCCCAGACGCCCTTGTAAGCCGGGTTGTCAATGAAAGGAGCGGTCCACTTGCCCTTGTAGGCAGGGTTCTTCTTCATAGGAGGCTCCCACTTGCCGCAGCCAGAGACTTCGTCACACTTGGGGTTGGGAACAGTGGGTGGGATCCAGTCACCATCCTCCTCGTCATCCCAGTCCTCGGGCTTCTCAGCCTCTGGGTCAGGAATCGTCTTGGGCTCGTCCTCGAGCCAGTCCTCAGGCTTGGTGGCCTCCTCGTCGACAATCTCGAATGGAGCGTCCTCGTCCCAATCCTCGGGCTTGGTAGCCTCGGGGTCAGGGATACGGGCCTCGTCAACCCAGTCTTCGGGCTTGGAGTCCTTGGGGTCGTCAATCTCCTCTGGGGGGTTGACAGCGGGATCAAAGTCCTCAAGGAGGGTACCGTTGCGAGTAGACTCGCCATCGATCTTGATCTCAAACGTCTGGTCGGGCTTGACAATGAGAGTGTAGAGGGACGAGGTCTTGACGATACGCGCCATGGGAGGGTTCTTGAGGTGCTTCTCCTCGTACTCGCCCGTCTTGGGGTTCTTGTGGCGGAAGATGAAGTGGACCTAGAACGTCAGTATTTGAAGTATAGAGAGGACATCGAAATTGCGTACCTTGTTGGTAGCACCGCACTTGTCGGGACCAAACATGATGATGTATGGCGAGGCATTGGAGAATTCCTCAGCGTGAAGGGCCGCGTTGTCCTGGAGGAGCTTCAGGTATGCACCACCGCAGTCAAGACCGTCTATTTCCATGTTAGAATGCCAATGCAGCCCAAATTGCAGCGATAAGACTCACTCTGAAGCTTGACTTCGTACTGAACAACGAGGGTGTTATCCTTGTTGTCAATGGCCTTGGGGAACTTGGCGGAGATGGCGTGGTGAGCGGCCTGGTCCTTGATAACCAATCCCTTGTCACCCTCAATGCCCTTGAGCACAGAAGGCTCCTCGACAGCCCAGGTACCAACGTATGCCCACTCCTCCTCGTCATTGACCTCCTTCTTTGCATTTGAGCGTTTCCATCGAGTTTCCCAGTCGTCAGTGAATTGCTCGAGGAAGGGTGCCTTGACTGTTGTGGCCTGCAGAATATACATGTCAGCAAATGCTTCTCTTGCACCCGGAGCAGGCTGGGAACATACCTTGAAGGTAGGCTTTGTGATGGCGGATGAGGGCGAGGCCTCGGCTTCGGGGGAGCTGGCGTCTTCTGCGCGCACAAAGGCGGCAGCGAGCGCAGCGGTAGCACCAATTGCAAAGCGCATTGTGCGTGCCTGCCGTCTAGAAGGGGCAGAGGACTTGAATCAGGGTGGAGTGGAGGGTTGAAGGGAAGTCTGGGGCGAAGTGGTAGATAAATAAATGCGGGCGTCGTACTCTAGCTCAAGGCCACGGTGGTCAACTTCAGGGAAGGCGGGCAGCAAAGCTCTCCACTATTCTCGGCTAGTGGCCGGGTGCCACGGACCCCTGCCAACGGCTATGGAAACGCGCAGAAGAACGCTCTACGCATGCGCATTTGACAGCTGGCCTCTTGCACAATATGGTCCTGATACAAGTGCCCTGTGCAGCCGTGCAATGCAACATGATCAATTAATTGCCTATTCTGTGTCTATCATTATGCATCTCCTGGGACGTCGATCTTGGGTTTACAATAGCTCCTGCCTTTATTGCGGGAGACTTTTACTTGTACTACGTACTGCGTACCTCCAGCACCCCTGGCATCCCCGCTAGTCCGAATGCATAAGCACAACGACTACAGTACCACTCGTGGTCATGTAAATGCATTGCCATTGTTCAAGTTGCTGTTCGTAGCCAACCCGCGAAACACGGCTAGTCCGGTGTATCCAATGGTCCGAATATGACGTTCAAAACGGTGGACGGTGCAACAGGTCCTAGTAGTGTAAGTATATGGTGCACATCTCTTCAAGCTACTGGCTACAAACGAGGTCACGATTGGGGTAATCAAATAAGACGTCGCACGGCCACTGGAAAGACAGGCAAGCCCTTGGCATCGCCCACACAACCCTGTTCAGCCGCGCGACTCCGTAATTACACAGTGCAACTATGGTAAGCCTACTAGTTCGCAATGTCATGTCAAAGCCCCACGCACGCTTACAGCCAACCATTCTGGGAATTAACTCATGCATTGCCATTGGTGACGGAGCCATTGCTAAAAAGGCCCTCGGATGCATTCATAAGCAACATTTCAATCGAGATATATATATATATCAAAACACCGCCGCCTATCCAGGCCGTCAGGTGCGACCCGAGTGTGTAGTATGCTCTTTGCCCCAGCCTGTCCCGTAAGAATAGTACAAGTCCCAAACGCCATGCGCTAAAGTCAAAGTCCTAGTTACTCCATGCCGCATTCCATATAACATGACCTATATCTCGTGCGGTATTTACTGTGTCAACCACCCTGCCTAACAGAGAGGGCGGCAGCGGCTCTTCCTCTTCGTCTCCAAACGGCATAAACATGCCTGATGGTGTCCTTCGAAGTTGGCCACTTTGTAACGATGCTGATGATTCACTGCGTCGAAATGAGTAAGGCTCAGAGCCTGTTGGTGTACTTGATCGGTTTGTGCCGTATGCACTGGCAGGATCAAAATACTCTTCGCCCTCTTCATCATCCTCGGCGAGCAGAAAGTTTCGTGAGGGATTTGAAGGCTTCAGTGTTTCTGAAGATGGCGATGGAGACAGCCCACGCGGCTTCCAGAATCCAAGTGAATGTGATTGCTGTGTCTCGGGGACGTCTGGCGAGTCGGTGCGATACTTGAGTGTGGTCGATGGCAGCTTGGCAATGGTCTTGTTGTCACCGCTGATGCTGGCCGTCGACGCTGTGCGCGACAACGGCTTCTTTCTACGTGATCGCTTCATCATGACGACGCCCTCGTCCGACGAAGAATCATTGTCCTGGTACTTTGCCCAGGGGTTGTGGTTGCAGTCGTCCTCTTCATCGTCGGCGTCTTTGCACTCGACGGCAATGCACTGCTCGACCTTGTCGTCGAATCGGATGTGGCGCTTTTCTCCGTGATCCGGCGTGTGCAGCTCCGAGGTGGACTTTGAAGAAAAGTAGTCGGTTCCTTCTGAGAAGTGGCCTCGGGACAGGGTGGACGATGTGGGGAAGTCGGGAGTGACTCGGCCGATGATTGGTCGGGGCCTCCGCAGGTCCAGCGTCACACCGGTTGTTCGCTGGGCTTGCACCGACTCGGCCGCTTGCTGCACCAACGACGACGACGAGATTGACTTTTGCAGCATGGCCTCGGACATGCTCCGCTTCTTGAGGATCGGCTTCTTGACGCCATTGACAAACGAATTAGTCTTTGACAGGCGGCTTTGCGGCTCTGAGTTTTGTTGTGAGAAGAAGCGGTTTGACGCGGGCTGTAGTGGGCCGTACAGCCATGTCACGTCGACGTCTTTCAGCCTGGGCGATTGGTTAGCCAGAGCACAGGACAAGAGAAAAAAAAACCTGCAAGTAGGGGCGCACGGATGGGGGTTGATCGACACCCCTGCCGTGGCTGCCGATCGAAATCATCAGCACTCACCAATTCAGTGTTTCGGGCGACACCGTCTTTAGCTTAAACTGGGCCTTGGCCCACGTTCGCCACGAGGCATTTTCCAGTCTAGAGCGCTCGCCGTAGACGTTGCGGTGCTCGACAATGTGCCTCCACGACGACCAAATGTCTTCTTCGCGCCACTCGTACGAGAGGTAGTCGACATGGTGTGAGGGTTCCTTGCGCACGGCCGTGTCATCCTCGGACATTGGCAGAGGGTCCGGCATGGTTAGCGGTGAGTCGGGCGAAAAGCCCTCCGTGGGCGAAGGGGAGGGTGGCGCCGGCGAGTGCATCGAAGCACTCGAGGGTTTCAATGAGGCTGCATCGGTCGACAGCGTGCTCTTGTCGTGCTGGCGTGCCGCCGAGCTGTAGTTTGGAAAGGACAGGCCATCGTCGTCACTGCCCGAGTCGTCCGACTTTGTGTCGAGCGACAGGCTGCTGCAGGGCGTCGAGTAGAGCGACGAGCTCAGCGACGAGCTCAGCGAGGGCGAGCGCAGGTCGGGCAGCGAGTACTGGTTTTTGCGGAGCGGCGAGTAGGCGTCGTAGGCGAGCGACGACGACGAGGGCGAGCGTTGGAAGGGCGCGGCGTCTCGAGGGAGCGACAACATGGCCGTCATGACTTTGTGCAGGCGTGGAGAGCCTCAATATCAATCACAGGGTCTGCCACACGGCGTCGACAGAGCTGGGCCGGGTGGTGGTTGTCGACATGCGGCTCGGAGCGGCGAGGCGGTCCAGGTATATTTGGGGCGTTGGGACGGCGGGGAGAGATCGGGGAGATGGTTCGCAGGACAGGGCGTGGCCGGGCGTGGCAGGGCGGGTGAGGGGATTCGCAGGCGGCTTGGGGAGGGAGGACTGGAGAATTGAAGGTTTGGATATGGATGGCAATAGTGCGCAAAGCTTCGACCCAGACCGTCACCCACCGACGCAGCGACGCAGCAGGCTAGCCGCAACCCCGCAAGCCCGGGACTGCAGACTGCGCCCTCTGCTCTACTCTGCCCTGCCCTGCCCTGCCCTGCCCTGCCCTGCCCTGCCCGGCCCTGGCAAATCGCACGCCCTTCACCCACTGCCCATACGCGTTGACGGGCTCCACAGCGTTGCGTCGTGCTATCCAGTAGCTGCAGCCCTGGCCTGTCCGCTTGATCGGCATGCAGCCCAACAGATTCACGCACAAGGACTCGGAAGCCTAGACCGCTGCTAGGTGCAGTCGTCTTGACAACGCGCCTCGCCGCCTGCCTCTGCGCGCCCCGTGGCCGGGGGATGCATGCCGTTGTACTGTCGACGCTGCAGCGCCGCTGGGCGCCCCCGTTGACGCCTCGCTCGGTGCGGGCGAGCGGGCGAGTGGGCGGACGACCTCACGAGACACACGAGCGAGTGGTGGAGAGAACCACCCCCCCAACGCCACTCGAGCGCTGCGTGCTGCGTGCTGCGTGTGCGTGTGCGTGCAAAAACAACTCCCCGCCCCAGCGCGACGAGATGCCGCGGCCGCCTTGCAAAGCGACGCATGCCCGCCTCGCTAGCCCTCGACCTAGCTTCTCAACACCAAGCCACTGCTCGCAACCGCGACGCCCATACCCAGGCATATGACGAAAACCGTCCACAGCCCTCTGCCAAACGCCTGCTCCTCCGCATCAGCTTCGACCTCTCGGCGTTGGCGAACCTGTGGGGAATGACGTTGAGGCCGCAGTGCAGCAATTCAACAAAGCAAATCCGCCTGCTGTCGAGCCCGGGAGGACCCCGGATCCGCCTCAAGGGCCCTTATCGCTGCCGTATCCTGCATGCGCTGTGCCAATACACCATCGAGCCCATCACGTAAATGTACATATCTGTGTAGACGTCCCCTCTTTTCAATCTCGACGCCTGGAGCCGGCTCAGCTCCTGCTGGAGCGTGCGAAGAAGGAGCCAACTATGGGGTATATTTCAGTGGATACGGCAAGCCTTCATGAATCATGACCGTGTTTGAGGACAAGCACAAGGAAAAAAAACCACTCACCTAGGACCAAGGCTTCTCATGCGAGCTGCATTGCCCAACCATCACTCGTACTACTGACGACACTCCGGCCCGCACCCATCCCTTCCTTGCTCTTCTCCCGTCCAGGACTTGAAGGCGGTACATACAAGTAGTGCTGTGTACCTTTCCTGTGTGCCATGTGTTACGTAATACACGCTTCCGTTCCGCGGTCCTCGAGCCGCATCCCACGCGAAACTGTCCCTTGACTTCCGGGAATACTCACACTCATGGCAGCAGTTGCGGGCGCAGTGGAAAGGCGATAAGGTCGGCAGCGACCATGGAACTCGTCGATAGACGTTGACAGCCCGTGGAACGTTGTACGGCAGCCTGGGACCCACCCTGCGGTGGCGCCCAGACGTAGGGCTGATGAACCGTTTGGAGCAGCCACAAAGCCTTGACATGTCCAGCGTGCATGTGCACAGTAGAGTATCAGCGATTGTATACACACATGTATGCACATCCGCTTCTCATGGCGTACTCTTTGCAAGGGGCGTCTAGGCCCTGTGGTGTGTGTGTGTATATATATATGTGTGTGTGTGTGTGTGTGTGTGGCTGAAGACTTCTGCCGACAGATTGGCCACAGCGCTCAATCGATCCAAGCGACAACTCTGCAAGGGTCTGGCACTGGTGCAAATGACGTTGGCTCGGTCTTCGTCCTTCTAAAGCCCCGAATCGCGCGAGGCTTTCCTATTATTCCCAAGATCGCGCTCGCGTGCGACAGAAAAGTCAGAGCTACTGTTTCGTGTGCCGTTACCTATGTATATACTACATGTTGCCGCGGTGCTCCCGTGAACGTTTGTTTTTCCCCAGTCATCCAACGACAATTCGACATGACTTCCGCCCACGACACAGCAGCCCCCGCCGGGGGGACCCTGTCCGAGACGAATGCGCAACTGCCTGACAAAGACCTGAATGTGTCCATCCCATCGAGCGATCTGAGCATTGCAGCACGAGGCAACACAGCAAAAGGAGATCAGCAAGACATACAGGAGAAAGATGCTGCCGTGGACGGCACCGCCGACGCGACTGCAGCAGCACAGGGCACACAGGGCGATGAGCGCCCACCAAGAACAAAACTACAGATCACTCTGATCATGTTCTCGTTAGCCGTCGCCATCCTTCTCGTGGCCTTGGATGTCACCATCGTCACGACGGCCCTGCCTACAATTTCGGAACAGTTCAAAAGTGCTGCAGGATACACATGGATTGGTACGGCATATCTGATTGCTCAGTCGGCGGCCGCGCCAATCTGGGGTAAAGTCTCGGACATCTTCGGAAGGAAGCCCATCTTGCTGCTCACCAATGCCATATTCTTCGTCGGCTCACTCCTCGCTGGAGTTGCCGTTGATATGGATATGCTGATTGGTGCAAGAGTGATTCAAGGCATTGGTGGCGGTGGTTTGACTATTCTGGTCAATATCACCATCTCTGACCTTTTCTCGGTGCGGGATCGAGGCGCGTACTATGGTATGATTGGCGGGGTCTGGGCACTGGCAAGTTCACTCGGACCGGTCGTTGGAGGTCTGTTTACGCAAAAAGTGTCGTGGAGATGGTGAGTGACACGCATGCATGCATACATACATGCATGGGGCACGGTACATGCGTGAAACCTGTACTGACTTTTGCTCTTACCACAGGTGCTTCTACATCAATCTTCCGCTTGATGGACTCGCATTCTTCATTCTATTCTTTTTCCTCGATGTCAAAACGCCCAGAACCCCCCTGCGTGAGGGTCTCAAGGCTGTTGACTGGCTAGGCTCACTAGCCATGGTAGGCGGTGTCACCATGTTGTTGCTGGGACTAGAATTCGGTGGTATCGCACACCCCTGGGATTCTGCAACCGTTTTGTGTCTCATCATCTTCGGCGCGGTGGTTATTGGCATCTTCTTCCTCATTGAGTGGCGGGTCGCGCCCTATCCCCTGATGCCTCTAGATCTCTTCTCAAAGCGCTCGAACCTAGCTGCTTTGGCTGTCTGCTTCTTTCACGCATTCGTATTCATCAGCGGCAACTACTTCCTCCCACTCTACTTCCAGGCTGTTCTAGGAGCCACACCAATCCTTTCGGGTGTCTATCTCTTGCCACAAGCGGTATCGCTATCAATCCTCTCGGCGGTTACCGGTGTTTTCATCAAGAAAACTGGTCAGTACCTGCCATTGATTTGGCTCGGCATGTTTATGATGACTCTGGGCTTTGGATTGTTAATCGATCTCAACGTCAATTCATCCTGGGCCAAGATCATCATCTACCAAATCATTGTAGGAATCGGCATCGGACCGAACTTTCAAAGCCCCCTCATTGCTCTTCAAAGTCTCGTGCCGGTAAGTTCCTCCACCAGTCCGTGCCTCGGGTCGCTTATGCATACTTCAATGCGAAGCTGTACGCAGGGAGCGGGGTTGCGAGCTTGGCCGTGATTACTGCTGCAACTAGTACACCGATGCTAACAAGCTTTGCAGAAACGAGACATTGCTACTGCGACCGCCACTTTTGGGTTTGTTCGCAACCTTGGGTCAGCAATTTCGGTTGTTGTGGGCGGTGTGGTGTTTAACAATCAGATGAAATCGAAACAAGCCCAACTGGCTGCTGCACTGGGTACACAACGAGCATCAGCGTTTGGTGGAGGCTCAGCAGGTGCAAATGTAGGTCTCATCCAAGCTCTACCCGCAGCCCAAAAATTTGTGGCGAGAAAGGCGTTTGGAGACTCATTAAGCACCATGTGGATACTATATGTTGCATTCTCTGCCACCGGGCTAATAGTCAGCTTCTTGATCGGGCGTAATAAGCTCGACAAGCAGCATGAGGAAACCAAAACCGGACTTGACGTCGAGAGGATCAAGAGGCTAGAAAGGGAAGCTGAGCGAGCCGAAAGGCGAAAGAAGAGAGCTAGCAAAGGCTCCCTGCCTATTGACCCAGAAGTACAAGCAACCGACGCTGGAAAGGAAAAGGACAAAGAAATCACTGCATGATTTATGTGTCATTAAATCCGGGGGTTTGCATTAGCGTTGCATCATGGCCGGAGTTTTATTCCATGAATTTGAAGGCTTTTGTGGCTCAAGGAATGTACATAGCTAATACCGAAGCATGATAGGCAGATGCTTATTTACATAATAAAAGTATAACTGACGGAGCCGTGGCTCGATCCAATCGATTTTGCGAGGTGTATATCGAGACCAAGGTTACCATCGGTCTGAGAGTCTTGTCCTCGTGGCTCACGGGGACTGTCACATTGTAATGTGAATCTTTATTGGAGGAGGAAAAAAGAAAACCATCCCACCTTCTGATAAGTAACCTCATCTTAAGTCGAAAAAAACAACAGCAACAACAACAACAATGCTCAATTGCGTCAAAGATAAATGCAGTCCGGAATCGATGGTTGTACGCTATTATATTAAAGTATCCATACATTCGAGTGATGAGCGTTATAGCAACAGAAAGTCAGTCCAAATTAAGAATGGTCAAACGAGGATGATGCTATTAGATTTACCAAGAGGCTCGATAAATTTACCTGAGAGCAAAAAGAAATGTTAATGACGATTATGCGTCGCTCGCCGGCCACAGGTAGTGATGCGATGTCACGTGCACTGGCCGCCAATCGCAGCGGAGCCCATTCAAAGCTCACCAGCACCGACGCTCGCGCGCATCCACACCACCGCCGACGCCAATTACCGTACCAGGACCGCTTGGATTGCTCTCTAAAGAGCATCTCCGATAGATCGACGTGATTCATTCGCCCGCGCATACCTCGCCGCCGCCGCAATGCCGACACCCGAGTCCGAACTCTTTCTCGCCAAAAAGCCCAAGGTTGCGCCAACCTTTGATGGCGTCGACTACGAGGACAACAAGGCATTGAAGGCTGCGCAGGATGCCATTATCCGGGAGCAGTGGGTTAGGAGCATGATGGCGAGATTAGTCCGAGAAGAGATGGGCAAATGCTACCGGAGGGAGGGTGTCAACCACTTGGAGAAGTGTGGACATTTGCGAGGTACGCTTTACTTTCAAATACTTTAAATGATCAGTTATGGTATTTGAGAGCTCGGAAGAACGAACTGGGGGTTTAGGACCGACAGCATGGGTGCCGAGATCTTCTGCAGAGTGCAAACACAGGCATGGAACACGGCTGACAGTGGCTATACAGAGCGATACTTTGAGCTCCTCAAGGATGCAAAGGTCAAGGGATATCTATTTGCACAACAAAACTACGTCGACGAGGCGCTCAAGCGATAGACGAATCCGCAACAAACGATGGGTGTATACAAGATTACACGTATGCCGGGCGAACCATATGTTACCGAACAGCGACAGGAAATAGCACGAGGACAATGCAGAGGTCGGGTTTCTAGCAATCGACAAGCATCGTGAGGAGAGATGCGACAGTCTTCTTTACAGGCGAATCTGTACATAAGCGTGCCGGATGAGAGGCTGATGTAGCACGAATTATAGGAACCCGATTCATAACTGCAATGGTACAGTTTTCAGTTATTTGAATTGACGTGATTCTTTACAAAATGCATACATACATTGTGGAGTCCTGGCTATACTCATCGTTTCTCGTAGTAACCTTTAGTCGTGGCATAATGAGGCCAAGGCTCACTCACTGCAACCCCCCCCCCCCACTATTGCGTACTTGCATCGGCAGCTCCCAACCGTAGCAATCAACACTCAGCAAGATGCCCTTTCCGTTCGTGCTGCCGACTACATCAAGTATATCCTTTACCGAATACTTCAATAGTAGCACACATCCCTCACTACCAAATTGTGCGACAACTGCGCGGGGTGTTCTTCGCGACGTGCTAAAGCGCCACAAGCGCATACCGCCTTCCTCACAAGCGTCCAACTTCTCAACTATAATATCCGCGCTCAATGACTATATACCATATCTGTTTGCACTGGACGCCGGTCTGAGTGGTGCAAGCTGCGCGGGAGAAGAGATTGACCTGGTGCTGGTGAAAGAGCTGGAAGTAGAATGGCGCTCGACACTAGGATCCTCAATACCAGGGCGCGAGCCTGCAAGAGTCAAGCTGAAGAGTCTGGACAGTGAGCTGTGCTATACTCTGTCAACGTTGGCCTATGTCTACAGCCTCCAAGCCCGAGCGCAGCTACATACCCTTTACAATGCAACTCTACCGTCCCCCGAACAACGGGCAACGGCAATTGGTGCCGCCATGAAGCACTTTCTCGAAGCAAATTCGATACACACATATCTATTCAATCGCTCGGGGCAGTACAGTTCGCAGCCTGCGGCTGTTGACATTTCAACGGCGGTGCTGGGGGCGCTTGCAGAGCTCACCATGGCCGAAGCCACCCTAATCACGGTCTTGAAAGACGATCCCTACCCAAGTGTTGTGATAGAGGATAGGAACAAACAGAGTAAAGACTGGATGTTCAGGGGCGTGGAAATTCCCAAAGTCCGCGCGCACTTGTTTGCTCGGCTGTGCCTTGCTTCTGCCGAACACGCTGCCAAAGCCCAAGCTATGCTTGGGCGCTCAACAAAGATCAGCGATGATTTAATCAAGTACGTAGACGATTTGAGACGGACTGCCAAGGGAAAGGCATGTCGTTTTCTCGCCTGTGACGCCGAGGCAGGAGGCAAGACTGGGGAAGGTATTGCATGGCTACGTGGGGCGAAGAAAGAATTGGGGTTCGCAGCGCTAGGCGCAGAGGAAGACAAAAAGACGTCGGGTTTCTCTAAATTGAAGAAAGAGTGGCAAGAGAAGCGGGAAGACCGCAAGATTGAAAAGGGAGTAGACTGGGGCACTGATGCGGGAAAATTTGAAGAGGGAAGGATAGTCGATATGCTACTCAAGAAGTGGGAGAAGCAGAACGACACGGTAATTTTCTTCTTCCATGTACATCTAAACAAGTCATGTTGCTAACATCTGCAGATTGGTGTTCAACTCGTTCCTCCCTCAGAACCACTGCTTGCAAGTATGCCTTCGGGCCGAGAATATCATGCGACGAAGATGTTTGTTGTACCGGCACTCGACGAGCATGCACTCGTCCGTATGAGGGCGCCCCCCGACCCAAGCGAAGCGTTTGAGGGCAACGAAGATGATAGCGCAGACGACGATGAGCGGGACGCTCCCACTGGAGCGTTCCCGGGGACAAAGGCAGACTATACTCCGAGTACCAGTTACTACTGATTGTCCTATTTAGAATCTAGTCAATGTAGAGTCGGTATCCACTACGGAATGTTTCCGTTGTATAGCCGCGTCTGCGTCGGCTTTACGTATCCCTTCCAGTTGCCTCGGGTTGCTTTAACGTTCAGGTTCGCCATGCCTATTTCAGCACCTAGAACCAAAAGTGTGATCTAACTATTTTACACATGCAAAAGCCTATCACGTCGAGACCCAAGTAGGCGCCTATAACAAGTAAGCGAATAAGGCTTGGCTTTCAAACTGCCTATCTGGTCTCTCGCCATCACCGACCAAGATTAGTGAAACAATAAGACCGAAGCTTATCACAACATTCGTCCCACCGCCACGCAGGAACTGGCATCACCTTGAACAACACCATGCAATGAAAACATAATGATATCCACTCCAGGACGCCGAGTTGCAACGACCCTTTTTGCCAACTTGGGCCTGACCTCGGTTTGCTACAGTAAGCATTCAGACGTACCAGCTTGGCCCCATGTTTTTTTATTTTTTTTACATTGGGTACTCAAGCCTTTAGTGTTTGTGTACACAGCTTAGCGCTCTTGACACACCAACCCCGGCGGCCGAACATTCCCCCACCCCCCCCTCTCCGCACATCACTGCAACTGATAAAGAGATAAGTAGGCGCGAGCGGCGCTATTTCTTCTGCACCCAATCGTCTACCCGCATCTTTCTGTTATCGCCGATGTCGTCTCTCTGTTATCGCCGGCATCGTCTCTCTCTCTCTCTCTCTCTCAACGGGGTACCCGTTCGACCACCCCGGTGTCGCTCTGGGCACTGATAATGCTAAAGTAGACTATGTTCCCGGGTATGTGGGTCTAGGTGCGGGATTATCCTGCGGACCGCGCACGCGCATTTATATATGGTATGTAGAGGAGAAGGGGGTTAGTTTGCGAAGCCGAGCAGGGGGTTGGGGGGGTGGCATGCCGGAACTTTGCGCAGTGTGCTGTCACGGGTTTGAAGCACATAGAGTATATGCAGCCATGTTTAATTCCGCTCTCGAATGTGTATAGGTGAAGATGCATACATATATTAATATATCTTTTTTTCTTTTTCTTTCTACGTTATTCACCGAAACGCTGGGAGACGCAAACGCCGGCGTGTGTGTGACGAGATCTCTTGTTCATTAAGCTCTTCACTTCTTCTTCTTCTTTTTTTGGTTTCTCCCCTTCTGGGGCAAGAAAAAAATTGGAAAGGGCAAGGTGAAAACGGTTGTCTTGTCTGGTCCGATTACAACTGGAAGTTTTTTTTTTCTTTCTGGTTTTCTTGAATAATCCGATCGTTGTGTCTTTTTGTTTTCAAAAACAACGAATACACGAATGCGATAGTAAGGGGACAATGGCGACGCTTAATATCCGCCCTGTGGCCTCGGAGCCCGTGATCTCGAGTATACCAGACGACGACACACCGTACGATGCGAAGCAGCCGTACAATGCAGACGAAGAGGCGCTGGCGGCGCTGGGCTATAAATCTGAATTCAAGCGAGAGTTCTCGCTCTACGCCACATGCGCTGTGAGCTTTGCGATTCTCGGTCTCCTCCCGAGTTTTGCATCGACGCTTTTTTTCAGCATGGGATATGCGGGTACCGCAGGCATGGCTTGGGGGTGGCCGATAGCCATGATTGGGATCCAGTGCGTGGCGATGAGCATGGCGGAGCTGTGTAGCAGTATGCCTACCAGTGGAGGCATGTACTATGTAGCTGCTGTGCTGGCGCCGCCGGCATGGGCGCCATTTGCATCGTGGGTTACGTGCTGGAGTAATTGGCTGGTGCAGATTACTGGGGCTCCTTCTGGTAAGTTTACCCACATACACAGTATTTTCGAAGTTCTTTTTTGGGGGTGGGAGGGAAAGAAGGGATGAGATATGGTGTACTGACTGTGTGATATCTCAGTGAACTACGGTATCTCGTCTATGATCCTCGCAGCAGCAAGTATCACCAACCCATCCTACAAACCAACCAACCTCCACACTTTCCTGCTCGCCTCCTCCATCATGGTCATCCACGCCGTCATCTCCTCCATGCCGACGCGATGGCTCGCGCAGTTCAACTCGGCAGGCTCGACGTTCAACTTCCTCGCCGTCGTCGCTGTCCTCGTCATGATTCCCGCTGGCACTGACCGTCCTGAGCGCGGCCTCTCGCGTTTCACCCCTTCAACCGAAGTCTGGGGCACTATTCACCAGGGAACCTCGTTCCCGCCGGGTATCTGTGTGCTCATGTCGTTTATCGGTGTCATATGGACCATGTCTGGTTGCAGCGCGCCGTTCCATCTCTCAGAGGAATGTTCGAATGCGAACATCGCGGCGCCCCGCGCTATCATTGCTACGTCGAGTATCGGTGGTGTGTTAGGCTGGGCTTTGCAACTCGTCGTCGCTTACACTGTCGTCGATATCCCGGCTGTTATTGCATCACCCCTCGGTCAGCCCTTTGCTGCCTACCTGATGCAGTGCATGACGCAGAAGATGGCGCTGTGCATCCTCGCGCTGACGGTTGTTGCGGGATTCAGTATGGGTCAGGGATGTATGCTTGCGGCGAGTAGAGTCACGTTTGCGTATGCGCGTGATGATGTTTTCCCCGGAAGTAATATCTGGAAGGTGGTTAACCCGTATACTAAGACCCCTGTGAATGCTGTGTGGGGAAATGCGTTTATTGGCATTTGTCTCCTAACACTTATTTTCGGGGGCAATTTGGCGGTTGGAGCGCTGTTTTCGATTGGCGGTATTGCTGCGTTTACGTGAGTTTTACTCAGGATTTCTTTTGGGATGAACCTCTTTTGCTAATACTTTGACCTCTAGCTCTTTCACCATCCCCATTGCTATTCGCGTCTTCTTTGTCGGAGACCGCTTCCGACCTGGCCCGTGGAACCTAGGCAAGTACTCGATCGCTTGCGGTACTGTCGCCTGCTCTTTTGTCGCTCTCATGATCCCGGTTCTCTGCTTCCCCAGTGTCACTGGTTCGCAATTGACGTAAGTTTCTTCCTTTTTTCAACTGCTCTATTATTCGCACACGGGAAACTGACAACTACGACAGCGCTAAAACCATGAACTGGACCTCCCTTTGCTACGGCGCCCCAATGTTCATCATCACATGTTGGTGGTTCATCTCTGCACACAAGTGGTTCACAGGTCCCAAGTTGAATATTGAGCACATGATGATTGGTCGCGATATCGTCGCGGTGGAAGCCCGGGAAGTAGCAAGTGATAGTGATACTGATGGCGCTAACATGTCTTCGGACAAGATTGCCAAATCATGAGATGATACCCCATTGATGATTTTTTGTTATTTATAGCTAGATATCCCATTTTAAGAAAATATTCCCACCAAAGAAATTGACGTTTTTTACATGTTGAATGGAAACAACAAGAAAAGCCCGTGAAATAAATGATGGTTTGCATAGTCTGTTGGAGCTAATGATACATCATGCGCGTCTCTAGAATGGACAGAGTCATAGCCTCAAAGTTTGATAAATGGGCATCATGTGCACATCAGGCCACTTGCTTACACCGACTCTATATTTTAGCTCATATCGATCTGAGCTTTGCTGACGATGTCGTCGGTATAGTAAGCCGTGTTGTGTGAACAAGGAGGCATGACTCCCATGCTTTCGTGGAATCGTACGACAGCAAATTTTGTAATGCATTACCCCTCACCCACTACGATGGCTTCGGCGTATTATTTTTTAGATATCATGGAAGAGAATGATTGAATCGGTGGTCTTATTTGAGTTCTTGTTTCTGTAGATGCAAATGGCTAGGCTTGCCAAAACTGTCGTGATTCAGGCTTCATGTAACGCTGAGCAACATTCAAGTTTAACAAAGATGAAATATAGCTAATAGATGTCGAACGGTTGATAATTGCTCTGAAAATAGGCCCACGAGCATGGAGGCTATACCATGACCCGATTATCTTTGAGTCAGGAGTCTTTCCTAACTTACGCGATGCTTCGCTGCAGTGCCTAATACATGCTGACACGCCCAGCTCAAGTATTTTACAGGTACCGGGTCTAGTCTTCTTGTTCATCTTAAAGCAAAGTGGTGAACATAACTCTAGCATCTCCATCCCACTCATCAGATGTCTGCTGTTCCCCTCCCCGCATCATCTCCATCGTCTGGAAATCGCCTATGAGGCGCCGCAGTGTAGCTTTGTCCGTGCTCCTATAAAGGGCGATGTAGATTGATGCATTAAGTACTCCTAACCTTTTGCATCAACTGCATCTCAGCTTTTATTTCTTCGAATAATTTCAGTGCGTCCGCAGGGAGTATGGTTCCAATCTGTACAGCCATTGCACTGATTTCCTGCATGATTCTAATAGATAGAGGAATCGAATCAATGAGGTTCTGGTGCTCGTACATGCAAAATAGGAAATAAAACTGGGCTTCTTTGTTACTGTAGTCATGCAAGATGTGGTTGAGTACGTGCAACATGGCGACTTGGTATGTTATTCCGTAATTTATGAAATTTGGTTTTGCTCAATGGTCGTAGACGATGCGCTTCAGCTGCTTTATAGATGTCTCAGTCGCCTTTGCCGGTGTTGGTGCGATCGCAGAGAAAGTGTTAAGCCTTGGTTACGGCTCCAAGTCTGCAGAAGGCTGGAAGGGACCCAATATTATAGCATGGAACCATGCGCTACGCTGTGTCAGTCTCTTATATCAATTTGAGATTAACCATCAAAGGCTATGGAAAACACATGGCCGACGGGTAATTCTGCTGGGTAATCGTCAATGGTAAAGAATGCGCCGTAGTAACAGGGGAATAACAAGAAGATCATGGAGGAAACAGCAATAGATTGTTAGTCAAACTTATTCAGAGCTTGACTACAACATTTATCAACAGCTCTAGAAATACCATACACTAAATACATTGATCTGCGACTCTCCAATTGATATACTCATGAAGTCCTGAGCCTTGCAATTTGTCAGCCCACACTCCAATAATCCATCCAGCACTTTCTCCCATTCCATGTACCTCATCCCCCCAAAGCCTTGCTAAGACACATACCATACCCAATATCTGCATGTGTATCTACTTTCTACACCTAAGCAGCACAGTTGTCGAAGGGTCAGAGTACAAAAACTCATCTGCATTCAGATTGGCAGGTCTAGTGGCACCCTCGGGATACTTCATGTCGTACCTAGTGATAAGGCTAGCGAGCACAACCTTGAGTTCATTCGATGCGAAGAAGCGCCCAGAACAAGCGTATTTGCCATGGCTGAAATGCAAATGGTTCTTATCCGTTGTTGCAAATTGATATTTGTGCTCCTGTCCTGGGACTTGTCGCATGTTGTAGTAGCGGTGTCCGTCGAAGGTATCCGCGCTCGGGATGAAAGATGGGTCTTTGGATGTTGCTTCAGAGGCAAGACAGATGTGTGTGCCTTGCGGTAACTGTGTGCCATCGGAGAGGGTGAGTGGAGTTTTGACGATGCGATGGAAGCTTACTGTAGAAGGGGTTAGTTTGCAAAAGAGAAATGATTGAAAGAAAGAAGGGTATGAGGAGGACGTACGTAGACTAGCTGGGCTTAATCGCTGGGACTCTTTCAGGAAGCTGTCCATCTTGCGCATTCTGGCAAGCGTTGGCTTTCCCCATCCTCCATCTTCTTTGAGTACTGTCTCAACCTCTTCTCTCAAGGGCTGAAAGTACTCGGGTCTGGCGCACATGTCATAGATGGCATGCGCACCAGCTCTTGTCGTCGTATCCACTGAAGCCAGGATGAGGATAAGCTGCCGTTGGGCCAACTTTTCCGGCTGTTGTTCGTCTCCCACGCCATTATCCATCATCCACTGCAGGAAGTCGTTTGGCTTGACGTAGTCTGGATCACTCTGCGCTTGGCGTCGGCGGGCGATGATGGGGAGCAGCGCCTTTCTTTCCTGGCGCATATGAGCATATAGTCTCCAGCTCGATGGCAGACACATTGCAACAGCGGGCCGCATCCATGAAGGGAAGCAACGCAGGGCCATGACTGTGATAGTTACTTCTCGGGCGTACCCCATAGAAGCACGAAACCACTCTTCGTTACGACCATCGTGCTCACCGAGGAATACGCGGTTAGAGATTCTCGCAATGACGAAAGCGAGAACTTCATAGATGGGGACCTCGATCCACTCATCTGTTCCATGTTAGCCGATCCGTTATGAATATACATGCATCGCGGGTACACGGACCTCTGCACTCCGGAATGAGTGTATCCATAGCCTGATCTACTTCCTCTTTCATCAATGCAGAATATGCAGCGAGATTAGGTGTCAGTTTAGTCTGGAGAAGATGCGTATGCAAATTTCCCTCCAGCATAATCTCCGAGGCAGTATAAGGCCCGCATATGTTCTGTGTCAATTGTATCAGTATTCAGCAGCTATTGGCATTTGAATTGATTCCCTACCGCGATCAGTGCTTCGACGGAGTTAAGCTTCTCATTGGAGAGATTACGAAGCTCGTCAACATATTTGTTGGGTATGACTACCAAATCTCGGTCATTGCGTGAGAGTTTGAAGACGGCATCCTTGAACTGCGATTTTGTTAGTAGCTTTTCTTCTTCATGTGTTTTCCCTCAGCACGTTACTTTGCGATAGCCCTCGTTGATTTGAGGCTGTGCACCCTTTGAGAAGCGTAGGTGTACAAGGAATGCGGGTTCAAAAATGGACCGATATCCAGCGTACGGAGCCCTGAGAATATGCTTGGACAGTGACGCAGTTTTTAGCACGAATGAGGTGCAATATCCGATCAAGAGAAGATAGATACAAAAGGTCGTAGCACTCGAGCTAATGAACTTGCTATCAAAATGTTGATGATCAGCAGCCACCGAGGCACTTTCATTCATGTAATCCATATTCTTTTGTCCCAGATTTTCTGTTCTTAGGATTTTCAATTTGATCTCATTCAGTGTTGATATAGATATAAGAATTTCTAAAAAGAACCGGCCAAATCTAACCTCTTATCCCATACAACCGCCTGCTATCCCACTGAATGCTTAGGAATCTTATCTACTCAAATCTTACGAATGCGACTTTCGGGCGTTTGAACATGAAGTGGCGCCGCCAGCCAGCACCAGGTGAGGTCTGAACAGGAAGTGTCCGTGACAGGGGATTTCAAAGTGCTCTAGGAATGAGATACGTATCCTAGTTCTGAAACGAGTAACCGAGTTGGGTAAATGGAGAGCTGCTTGGTGGCGGGTGGGATGAGAAAGGGCCCTAATCACCTGCCACTTTCGCAAACAATCCCCCGTCCTCCCTTAACCCCGTTCCGAGGAACACCCCAAGCCCCCTTCCAAGAAGAGATACGTCTCAGTTCACCCCCACTCAGCAAAAAGCCGCCGCCTATGCATCATTGACTGCATGCGCCGACTTCCAAGTCAGACTCATACGACGCTTGAACTCGGTAGTATACGCGGCATCAATGAACTCCACAATACTGTCTATCTTTTCCCCATCTTCGCTCATGGTCAAGGTGAACATGTACTCATTCGTATATTCTCCCGCATCTGTATCCGCTCGATTGCTGCAATGCAATACGACTCTCCGTGTTTCAATATCAACGACCGTCTCGTCATCGCTGATGACCGAAAAGTGAACGGCCCGAAATGCAGACAGCATTGGCCCCATGAATGTTAGGTAGTCGGCGTTTGAGCGTGGAGGTACTTCCAGTGTGGCTGGGAGGGTGTAGTGAATGCAAATGGGGCTTCGGATGGCCATGATAGCCTGCAAGTCCCACTGATTGTAGGATTGGATAAAATTGAGCGCCGTAGCAATGAGCTGATCTCGGCTCGGAGTTGTCCGGGACATAATGGGAAGTGATAAGCTGAAGTTGGATGGGTAAGAAAAAAAGAGAATTTTGCGTCAAATTTATTGTGTTGGTTAGATTATCGCGATTGGTGCAAAGGTGGCATTCTCCACCAAAATTTTCCTCTGGATGGATCTACTTAGTGATGCATATGCATGTGACATGTTTTTTCTGTTTGTACTACATAGGGGAAAGGTATCATGGGATAGCCTAGTCTTCCGGTGAGCAGCACATTACTGTAGCAGAGAGATACACTGGCATGCCTTGCATGAAGAAGAACACGGTGCTCAATAGATATACTAAACCTAATCAGAAGAACACAGCATATAGTGAGTGGAGCAGAGCGTAAAGCATAGGAACAATAGGCTCAAGGATTACAACCAAAGCTTCCTTGGCCTATGATATGGCTTAATCTCTAGTACAACAGAGCTCTTTTTGAGGGGCCAGCGTCTCCACAGATTATAAAAGACAAATATAGCAATGTAACAGATCTGATTGGGTATGCACTGATCCAGACACAAAGAAACATGTGCCCCCCATGGAATTTATTGTACCAACATGGTGTATCCATGTCACTGTGTCCGAGGACCCTCCTGGTAATCTTGTATAGGATGGACGACGACTAATGCATGCAAGGACTGGGACAGCAAGGTAACATTGCTTGTCAGGTGTACACAAGCTTAACCTTGCTTGGCTTGTCAGACGGGCCGTTACCGAGCGCCCCAGCGGATACTCCCACAAACGCCGGCTTTAGAGCCTTTGAGTTTAAACCCGTTAACCCCGACGAGGCAGTGAATGGGTCTCTACAAACTCCGGACACTAACCCCGCTAGCGCGCAAGGCTGCCTTTGGAATAACACAAGGGCTGCTCTTATGCCTGCTTTAGGCAAAGTCTCGAGCTAGGGAAACAAAGTCTTTTGCTACATGACTACATGACATTCCTGAGATTCCAGATACTAATTGGGATACGCCACGAAGCTTGCGACCTTCTTATGAGCTTGTGAGCTCCAGAGATTTTCCGAACACTGCATTCCAATCATGGCGGACCAAAGTATCAAAGACGACGATGTTGTGTCAAACACTACGAACAACGACAGCATGAACGGGACAGCTGTAGACGATGTCGAGAAGACGGTAGCGCCAATCGTCGTTGATTGGGACTCATCAGATGACCAGCAGAACCCCATGAACTGGTCAAAGAACAAGAAGTGGTCTACTATCATTCTGGTGGCATACATCACCTTCGTCACGTAAGTTGATCAGCAAACGTTGCAACAAAGCATTTACTGACTGCGCTTCGATAGTTCATTTGGTTCCACCATCTTTGCGCCTGGTGTCCCAGAGTTGCTCAGAGAGTTCCACAACACCAGCGATGAACTCGCAACCTTTATTGTCTCAATCTACATTCTCGGCTTCTGCGTTGGACCTTTGTTCCTTGCGCCGCTCAGTGAAGTCTACGGTCGCTTCCCGGTCTACTACATTGCCAACATCCTTTTTCTCATCTTCTCCATCGCGTGCGCAGTGAGCTCAGGCATGGGTATGTTCATCATCTTCCGCTTGTGTCAAGGTATCACTGCCTGTCCTCCACTGGTACTTGGTGGAGGAACCATTGGCGATTTGATGGCTCCGGTTGATCGAGGGCAGGCCCTCACCATCTGGTCAATGGGACCTCTACTTGTAGGTCATTCAAAGATGTTAAGTTAACGACTGAGCTGACTGGCGATACTAGGGACCCGTGATTGGACCTGTGGTTGGTGGCTTCATGGCTCAGAATATTGGGTGGCGTTGGACCTTTTGGTTTACTGCAATCATGGTAAGAATAGAAACCCGCCATACGCAGAAAGGCAGCTGACAACATCCAGACTGGCGTCGGCGTCATCGTGTCGCACTTCATCCTACGAGAAACCTATGCACCGACTCTGCTGGGCAAGAAAGCTGCGCGACTTCGAAAAGAAACAGGCGATCCCAACTACAAGTCGAAATTCGATAAAGGCTTGAGCTCAAGCCAACATTTCAAGGCGGCTATCATTCGCCCGACCAAGATGCTGTTCTGCTCACCCATTGTCGCCATCCTCGCCCTCAACATGTCCATCATCTACAGCTATCTCTACTTCCTCTTCACAACATTCACATTCGTCTTCAAAGGCCAATACCACTTCAACGCCGGAGAGTCTGGCCTCGCATACCTAGGCCTAGGTGTAGGCTTCATCCTTGGACAGTTCGGCGTCGGCAGTGCTGCGGACAAATACTACAAGCGGAAAGCAGCCGAGGGACCCACAAAACCGGAACACCGCCTCCCTCCCCTGATTGTCGGTGCGTTCCTGATCCCTGCAGGTCTGCTGTGGTACGGTTGGACGGCTGAGTATGAAGTGCACTGGATCGTGCCTATTATTGGGACTTCGTTCATCGGCCTCGGCATCATGTGCGCTTTCCTTCCCATCCAGATGTATCTCATTGATACGTTTGGTGTCTACGCCGCAAGCGCCTTGGCCACGAACACTGTGGTCAGATCGTTGTTCGGAGCCGTCCTGCCATTGGCTGGACGTCGTCTGTATGCTGCTCTTGGACTTGGCTGGGGCAACAGCACCTTGGCTTTCATTGCTCTTGCCATGACTCCAGTTCCGTTCTTGTTACTCAAGTACGGTGAGCGGATTAGGACACACCCAAGGTTTCAAGTTAATCTGTAAATCTGCTTGATAGACGAGCCATTCCCTGCGTTCTTTCAGTATCGAAAAACAAAGGCTTTGTGGGGTTTGGGTTTAGGCAATACGAGTTGGCGCGACGGTGCACGCTAGATGGACATGTGATGGTACTCGGCTTCGAGAGCCGAAAAATGTTAGATTTTTTATCCTCATAATTCTTTGTAATCATAACTATTTCTACTCGATACATGCTACATGAATCTGCAGCTAAAGCTACAAACCGGGAAAGTGGGAAAACCCAGACCAAGCGGGCTAGCCCACCAAAACGAACAACCTTTACTACTCATTGCCAACACCACCTTAGTATTATTTCAATAAAAAATCACCCTCAATAATTGCAGTTATACTATACTTTCTATACCCAAGCGAACGATAAGTAAGATGACATTAGTAGTGTTGCAGCAGGAATACGTGTTTCAAGCGTGCTTCGTACCATTAGTGTTGTGCGATTTCATCCCCAACTTACCGGATCGATCGACCGGCTACTCTCAAGTGCACTTGTCCAAAAGCGTTATCCGCTGGCCCACACTGTCAAGACATCCCCCCAAAACAGTGTGCAGAATGACTCGTAGGGTGCCCTTTCGAACCCCAACCAAGAACTTCAGACGTACAGAACTCAGGAAGTTTGATTACACCCGCTAATACGAATCGCCAATGGCCCGGCTTGGCCTAGAGCTTAACTGATTTTCAGTTATGATTGAAGAATCTTAGACTAGCTATATTGAGATTGCAAAGTGGACCGTTCTCCACAGCTCGAATAGCCCCCATCCCCATCCCCACCCCCCCTTGCTAGCGGACTCCACCGGATCGACGTCAGGGTTCTGTGCGCCTAACTTACTCTTGACTTCTAGCTCCCAAAGACTGATATCGCGTTTCACACTCTAAGCTCCAACCTTCCTTTCAGTGAATTTCAAGTTCAAAGGTCCCATGGCTGCGGTGAATTGCGTCTTCATGTCCCGTTCAAACGCCGTTCCGTCGTCGCCATCCGCAAGGCAGATGTCGAATCGGTAGAGTAGTTTTGCGGCTGTTGTACGCAGATTCATGAGTGCGAGAGGTTTACCAATGCAATTGTAAGGTCCTGCGGAAAAGGGTGCGTAGGCACCTTTTTCCTTGCCGGAGGTGGTGGAGGATTTGTACCAGCGTTCGGGTAGGAATTTGTGGGCGTTTTTGTAGATGGCTTCGCCTAGAGATATCATGGTTAGTTTTCGCGATGCAAAGGTCTAGTGGGTTGGGAAGGGAGGGGATTGTTAAGACTTACTTCTCCCAATAACGTATTGTGGGCACGAGACGGTAGTGTTGCCGGGTATGAACGTGCCGCCAATCTCGATACCTCCAGGAGGCGTCTTACGTTGTAGGCCAGTGCCAACAGGTGGATGAAGTCGTAGCGTCTCATCGATGACTGCGTTCAGATGCTCAAGATATTGGAGTGGTTGGTGCACAATGTCACCATTGGGACCCATGTGGGGTGCGATTTCTTGTCGGATTAAATCAATGTGTTTTGGATTTTGGACGAGCTCGTAGAAAAGACTTGCCAAAGTTGTTGCGGTAGTGTCACTGCACCCAATTTAGCAAGGTCAATGCGCAAACTTAGAGGCTATACTGACCTTCCAGCGACGACAATAAGTTGCGTGTCGCCTTGTAACACCTTTAGCTCTGCGCCAGATGGTTTAGATCCATTATAGGGTTTGAGCAACGTGTAGAGGATATCCGAAGTGATTGTCGTCTTCTACATCTCAGGTTAATACATCAAACTCATCTGGCTGTTAGGTTGGGCATATGTACTGTCATTCTCTCATCTAACTTATCACAGCAATAACGTATAAAGCTCCACCATCCGTTTGCTGCAAATGGTATCGACACTAATACCCGAAACATCCAAGTCGGCAACATCAGTCCCAATGGCGTCAGTGCCTCGCCCACCAATTGCACTGCCCAATGCAACTGATCAGTCTTAAGCATATCGAATCCCTCGCCGAATGCCAGATCTCCCATAACATCGAAGGTGTAAAGATTGAACAGCTCAGTCACGTTTGTAGAGCTGTCCTTGGAGACTGCAGTTTCGATTTTTCCAATGAGTTGTTCCTGAAACACACTCATTCTTCGCTCGTAGCCGCGCATTGACTTTTCGCCAAAAGCCTGGCTCCAGATTCGTCTTCTTTGGTCATGCAGGCTGCGGTTCCGCGTTGTTTGCATGGAGACCATTGGAAGGGTGAGATCATACCAGTCTGCCTTGCTACATTGTGACTGGTGTCCGTAGATTGCTTGTACAGCTTTTGGGTGTGTAATGGAGAGATCGGAAGAACCAACGCGGACGAAGGAACCGTAGGTCTCGTGCAAAGAGAGAAGCTTTTCGTGGGCGTTAAGTCTGGTAAGGTGCAGGGAGAGGTACAAGTTGGAGATCCGAGAGCCCAGAGGGCCAGGGAAATGACGGAGGGGGCTGAAGAACAGACGATAGGTAACAAGGCTAGTGTAGAGGCCAGCGAGATAGATGAAGATAAGTGCAAGAGCGTCTTTCAAGTTCGCGCCAACGTCGAGAGAGTAGGTCAAGGTTGTAAACGAGACATAGGTCATGAGGACGAGCAGTAGAAGCTGCAGATAACGTATACCGTGCATATGATGTTCAGAACCATGTAGGTAAAAGATGTGAGTAGCTACTCCTGCAAACAGGATCAAAAGATTGCGAAAAAACGACATTCTGGGTTGAGGGTTGCAAACTTTGGGGGGCTGAAATTTGTCCAGATATGCTGTCTGCCTAGTGATGCCTTTCCAAACAAAGTCCGCTTCAAACTGTGGAGACGCACGGAAAGAAAATTCCGGTAAGTGTGGTTACATATCCAAGCGTGTTGCATGTTGAAGGAGGAGACTACTTGGGATGCTGGCAGCATATGGTGGGCGCCGACTTGCGGTAGCTGCAAGCCTGCGCCCATGAACTGATGTCGCACCCACGGTATCGCCGATTTCCCCTTTAGGTAGAGTCTTTATTCCTCGGGACAGGGACTGTTGTTCCGTGTGTGCAGCCATGTAGTCTCGTTGCATCTCCGGTGTGTACCCCAACAGTTTCACCTCACTTGAGTACTTTGTGTGTACGTGTTTTTCGGTCCGTCTATCAGAAACTGATCCGGAGCTGTATTGCAATTGCGTTTTTGAGGGGCGTATTAATGACTGGTTGAGCTAGCATGGCTCTTCGACCGCAAAAGTGGACCCTGCATCTTAACGAGGTGTCAAGTATCTTAGTTAGTATGTATCTTATCCAGCATCCGTGGGGTTTTAGTGAGCTTAATCAATATAAGCCGCGCGGAGGCTAGGGAAGTGCCTAAGGCGACCCGTTCCCGCGGACACAACTGCCGTGCGTGGCTAACGAGTCCTTGGCGTTTCGTCGGACGCGAAAGCCACTACTGGACTTAAGATACTATCTCCAGATAATCTCGGCTATACTAGGTACGTAGCTACGTATCAAAAGCATGTGCAGTGTTCCAGAACAGTCTTAAGAGACGGCTGATGGCTGGTCAGTAAGCCATGGCACCCATGTTTTTTTTGTTTTTAAGTGGCAGTAACAGCCGCCTCACAAACGCCTCACAGACGCCTCTCGACTAGATATCCTGGTCATAGTAAGCGACTAGTCATTTCCTCGGTCATAACAACCATAATAGTCTGAATATAGCTATGCGTATCGTTGTTAGAACCCTAGTAGACACCTTGTTTTCTCAATCTGAGTTAGGCTAAAACTATACCACCGGAGCTTACCCCTGCACACCTGCATGTTACACATCTGGTTCCATAATTCAGCATATCGAAAGATACCTATCAGGCAAGGATTTCTGTTACGTTGAATCATGACCTTTGCTACGTCGATGAAAACTAGCTACCCATGTATGCAAGAGAAGATACAACTGTCGGTGACTACAGTACTCCTGTTTTACGGCTTCGGCCCGTATTTTTGATGTGTGGAAGCCGTGAGGTTCTCAGAAAGGCAAATATATGGAGTCCTGTAGTGATGAGGCCTCGTACGAGAGTGAGTGCGGTGGGGAAGTAACCTATTGAAGGAAAGTATAGCCTTCTTGCCGACACCTGCAGCCCTCCAGATAAGGGACCAAAGCCCAGAATTTCTTGCTCTCCAAGCATCTCATTTTCACCTTCAGTTTTCCAAACATGAATCAATCCAACCAATCCACTCTATTCACTCAGTCCACTCATTCGGCCTTCTATGAAGGTAGGATGTCCAGCTCACCATCTTTCATGGTCGGACTTGTCATTCTTTCCGTTACCTCGGCGTACCTCTACTTCGTCATCAGCGACTTCCTGCAGACGTTCTTGAAGCGTCCCGCACACTTCTTGCCTTTCAAGTACATCCAGCGTATCAACCCCACCAAAGTTGACGTTCCTCTCGTGGAGATAAAAGAAGAAAGTAACTATCGTGAGCTCCTGGCACTCAGATCTCAGCAGGTATTTGAGGTCTTAACCAAAAACAAAATAGTTTTTTTACTGACACAAAATAGTATCCTGATAGGCCATACAAGTTTCTTCACCACCCTGGTGAAATTGTAATCCTACCATTCAAGTACATGGACGCAATCAAGAATGCACCAGAGGGCAAATTGAGCTTTCAGCAGGGATCGTTCGATATGCTTATGGGTGAACATACGGGCATTACAGGAAATGACCTGGAGATGGCAACACTGATCCGAAGGGATGTGGGACGCTTGCTGGACCGTGTGTACACAATCGTGGACGATGAAGCAATGGATGCCTTGAAGAACGAGATCGGTCCTTGTGAAGGTCAGTTTTGAATTTCCTCAGAATTTTTTCCGAGCCTTGAGTAAAATGATCTGACTGACCCAAAAACAGACTGGACAGAAGTCACGCTGCTGCCCAAGACTGTGCGCATGATTGTCAAGGTTTCCCAACGTGTCTTCGTTGGCGAGCCGCTCTGCCGTGATGAGCGTTGGGTGAGTCCAAGCACTTTTTACTTTCATCCTCAACATCCACTAATACTTCCTAGCTTGAAACTATCCTCAACTGCACTGCTGCTTCTTTTGGAAGTGTCACCAAACTCTGGACATACAACTGGCTGACTCGACCCTTTGTCGCCTGGCGCGATCCTGGTCTTCGCTCAATTCGCCAGTACAAAGAAGAAGCTCGCGAGTACGTCACCATCATTTTTCACTATTTGCAACAATGTTTTTCTTACTGATTCTTTGCCGATAGACTTATCCGACCTGTTCTGGATCAGCGCCTCAAGGATTTGGAAGACCCCGACTTCAAGGCGCCCCCAGATCTGATCCAGCTGGTCATTGACGGGTTCAAAAATGGCAAAGGCCGAAATCTTGAGACTCAAGTTGCTACCCAGATTGGTACTGGTCGAGCTGCCCTCTTCACCACTGGCGTCACCGTCTTTCACCTTATTTACGATCTTGCGGCTCATCCAGAATATATCCAGCCTTTGCGCGAGGAGGTCATTAAGCTGTGCGATGTGCCGATGAACCGGGTCAATGTGGCCAAGTTGGTCAAATTGGACAGTTTTATCCGCGAGTGTCAGCGCTGGAGCAAGTTCTTGCTGAGTAAGTCTTCTACCGCTTTAAGAATCACCCAGACCATCCAGCAATCAACTAACCAAGATTATTTAGTTGGAACAATGAGGAAAGTCATCCAGCCGCTAACGTTGCCTGACGGTACCGTGCTGCCAGTCGGCACGTTACTGGCTGTTGATACGCAGAACGCAGTCTTTAATAACTCTACACTTGAAGATTCCCACAAATTTGATGGGTTCAGGTTCGAAAAACTCCGCGCGCAAGAAGGCAATGCGATGAAATTCCAGGTACGTCCCTTACATCACGCAACTACTGGTTTCCTACTAACGACAATATCTAGGCGGTCACTACCGGAGCGGACCATCTTGTTTTTGGTTATGGTTCACAGGCATGTCCAGGGCGCTTCTTCGCTATTCACGAAGCGAAGGTGGCGCTCGCACGTGTTCTTCTCAATTACGACTTCAAGCTGAAGGAGAAGCCTGTGGACAGCCCAATGGCGAGAGTGGTCGGAGTCCTGACGACCGCTGATCCCTCTGTGAAGTTCTTGTTCAAGAGCAGGAAATAGAGTATTGTTTTTTCTACCATTCTGTTCTTTCAGAATACAGTCAATGTGGGAGATTCGGTACTATAGTTGTCGCTTGACAGCCAAGCATATGCGTCGTTGGCACTGAGATGCATTCTAAGAAATTGTTGTCATACATAAATTGAGAGTTCATAATTACTTTTTTTCACGCTGGAAACAAGAGGATTTCACAATATTCGAGTAGTCAAGCTTCATGACAAGTGCGATGAGCTTATCGTGAACTCAACAAGAACCACTGTGGAAGTGAGGGTCAGTGTTGGAATTCAATGCCACAATACTCTCGCATAGGTCAGACTTGCTAAGAAAGACCATTCTTTCAGCACTAGGTGTCCATTTAAGCTTACTAACTAAGGAAAGTAGCTTGGCAGCCCGGATCCGAGGAGCTTGTTAGCTGCAGCTCTGACAGACCGAGAGATATCCGCCTGACATCCTTGCATACAGTTTTGATCCACCGCTTCTTTTCAGCTCATGCTGTATGTCTGATAGTTCGGTCTAAATCGACTAAGTGCCTCGGGATCACCTCCACGGGCGTGTGCTTGATCGCTTCGCTCATATGCATGACCTATTCATGTCCCCGTTGGTCGGCGAAACCGAGTCTCACCCTTCCCTGTCCGATATACCCTACCTATACGGAACCGAGAAAACATGGTTCCCCAGGTTAGCTACCATGAATCGTATTTCTGCGGGATTTCCGGGATGTGGTACTCCCACAGTTCATAATGAGTTCGGCATATTTTCGGCACCCCTGTCATGTATCAATATAACCCTTGGACAACCAATGTGCACTAGTGCCGTAAGCATCTGTGGATGCATCTTTTGAAATGTGGCATGTGTCATTCAGATGTCGCTTATGTTAGGCCCGACTTCTCTTGCAGTTGCTGTATACGTGTCTCTGTACCTAGCTCTAGTCAGGTATTCAGCCGGACAGCATTGGTATGTTGCCATTGAGGAGATAGTGCACTCGAATCATGTACAGATAGTACCGGCCGTATAGAGGTATTCGTCACTAGCTCTGCAAATACCGGTCAGCAACGCGTATTCTTGTTCTTGAAATGAATTTGAAACCATAGTCCCACTGCAAGGAGATACTCTGGACGGCTAGGTTACGCAGAATCGTCTCACTTCTCGGTTGCGATACTTGGAACAGTTCCTTAATATCGATTTTACCTCCGAGCTCTTTCAGCTCAGACAAGGCATCAGGTCTGGGGGCATCCTATCATAGGTGTATTAGCATATCAAAATTCACATATATAAGCAAGCTCAGCAATACCAACCAGCTACAACTTTCATTCACTACATCCAAACTCAACTTCCACCATGAATTCATTACTCAACCTCGTTATTTTTGTCCTTGAGCAGCTTGCCAAAGCCAAGAAAGGTGGGAAAATAGACGACCTTCTCCTCCCCCTTGCTTTGAACCCAAAGCTACTCGTAGCCCCACGGGATCATGTATATGCAGCTGCAGTTGCCTATGCTTACGATCCGGTGCCAAACATACCCCAGTACATTCGTCCCAAGTATGCATCTTTTCCTCAGCATGCATCTAGGCCAAATGAACACATTAAAAACAACACCATTCGGTTACGACCGCAGGCAGCTGGACTTCCATACCGATCGAGTTTCGATTATGTCCGGGCTGCCAAGTACTGGAAGGCAAATCTGGAAGAGACCATCAAGGTCCTTGAGCTGATCACTACCGACACTTCCACTGTTGATGTCGAAGTCGGCAACGGTATAACATTAGCCAAGCTTGCGAGAAAAGAGCTGCGTCCAGGCCTCGAAAATCGTATGGTAATCGCAACAAGTCACATGTTTCCAAGTGGAGATGAGCGGCAGATTCGGATCATAGCCACCTTGATGATCATGTATTTCGTCTTCGATGGTGAGTTAAAGCCACTGTCACATTTACAATACATGAAGGTAACCAAACACAGATAAGATAGAAGAAAGTGAAGGTTCAGCGGTAAGATTATCTAGAGACAAATCCACGCTGGATTCAGACTGACAATTTGTAGCTTTCGGATCTGAGGGACGATTTCTTCAGCCGATTTGATGGCCCCAAGGCTAGACGATCACAGAGAACACCGAGTGCACTTCAGAACCATTTGGATGAAACAGTGGCCGGCATATACGAAGAAGATGCTGCAGGTGGTAACGGGGGACACGAGATGCTTGAAGCACTGCGAGGTGCCTTCCGCTGCGTTCACCCAGAGGGCAACTTTCCCACAGTCGACAGCTACCTTGCATTTAGGAGATTGAACGTCGGGGCGAGGTAAGTGATCCTCTTCACCATTTCAACCTCACATACGCTGAATACTAATTCTTGCTAGATTCGTGATCGCGGCGGCAAAGTTCACTATCAAGTCTAATGTTGACGTTTCAGACCCGCGCTTTGCCAGATTCTTGAGTTTGATCGGAGACCACCTCGGCCTTGTCAATGACCTTGCGTCGTACGAGAAAGAGGCACGGGCACTTAGCACAGGAGAAACCAAGGACATGATCAATATCGTTGCCGTGATGCACAACTTGATGTCCCTTCCAAGCGAAAAAGCGGCTAAAGCGGCAGCCTTTTCTTACTTGTTGCAGGTGGAAACATGGATAATGGAGGAAATCGAGCGGCTGGCAGCGTGGGAAAAGCTGAAAGACGAGGAGTGGTGGTTCCTTGAGGCCGTGTTCCTTTCAGCGACCGGGAATACGTTTTTCTGTATGACTAGTTCGCGTTATAGTGGAGAAGCTGCAAAGATTAACTAGCAGGTATATCAGGTGTTGTACAGGGTTGGTTGGTTCGGCCAGATACGTCCAGATTGTAAAGCGTGCAAAGCCGGGATATGCTGCGGGACTTCTGCATGGGTCGTGTTCAAAAAGGTCCCGTGCATTCCGAGGTTACATATAAAAAAAGTTCCCCCGATGGTACCACTATATCATTTCTCATCAATACAAATCGATAATTTTTCTTCTAAAATATCTTATTCAGCCAAGTGTTCTCTCATAGCACTCTTTGCAATGGCAGCAACTAGCAAGTACATGCGTGCGATTGGTAGGGAATCCACACGCCATGCTGCGAGCCCCTCTCACCTGGAACCACATCTAGCTGGGGATGTGCTGACGACTTACTCTAGATATCCGTGGCAGCTCCGGTCCTGCCACTGCTCTCTTTATTAACAAAGAGGTATTAAGGCCCACACCAGGTCCCGATGAATGCCTCGTTCGGGTGCATGCCTTTGGTCTCAACCGGGGCGACATCGTGCAGCGTCAAGGACTGTACCCAACACCGCCCACTGCACCCAAAACTCTTGGATTAGAGTTCAGTGGCGTTGTTGTAAGTGTTGGTAAAGCAGCAGGAGAATGGTGGGGTGTGGGTGCTGAGGTGTTTGGCCTTGTATACGGGGGCGCGTACGCAGAGTACGTCGTTGCGCACAAGAACCTGTTGATTGCAAAGCCCGCAAAATTGAGCTGGGCCATGGCGGGCGGCATGTGTGAGTCCTGGTTCACAGCACTACAGGCACTACACATGGTTGTTGGTGAAGAGCTTTCTTCGAAGCGGTCCATTCTCTGGAATGCTGGTGCATCGACAATCTCAATATGCGGTATCCAGATATCACTTGCCATGGGCCTCAAAGTTTTCGCAACAACAAGGCAAGACTCAAAGAAGAGCTTTTGCATCAAGGAGTTGGGGTGCACAGGTGCGATCAATACGCGCGATTTTCCGGAGCCCAAAGCGTGGGTTGATGAGATTAGACGGATGAATGACGGCGAGGGCATCGACGTCATAATCGATTTCATCGGCGGTTCGTGCTTCACCTCACTACTCGACCTGGCTGCTCGTGATGGTAGGATCGTCAATCTCGGCCTGCTGGGAGGTGCAAGGACGGAGCCCATGGCAATTGACATAAGCCCGTTCGTTATGAAAAGACTACGCTATGAAGGAAGCACGTTGAGAAGCCGCGATGTCGAGTATCAAGCAAAAATACGGGCATTGTTTGAATCTATCGTCCTTCCGAAGATATTGGACGGAGGTTTCAACCATCACATTGAGGAACCGTTCAACTGGGAGGACATTGTAGCGGCTCATGAGCTGATAGAAAGCAATAAGACAATGGGGAAGATTGTTTGTGACATCGACTGGTAACAGTTCGTAACACCAGTAGCATACATAGTACAACCCAATGCAAATTACTCATAACATATACATGCTCTCTCACCCTGTCATCATCATGTCTCATTAATTTTCAAAAGCTCCTTTGGATCAACATTTCAAATCGCGACTATCAGCGTCATGGAGCATCCAGTACATTACAATAATTAACAAAGAAAGAGGTCGATGATCAACAACACCCTTTCTGTTACAGACGTACCCGGGAGCGCGCGATGCTAACATGGATGGAATTCTATGTATGAGCTAGCTAGCCCCAGATTAGAATATATGGGAATGTATTGACAAACACATGGCACTTTCTCTAGCAACACAAGAAATAGAGGGGATCTAGTTATGCAGCTCATGGTGGCTGTACAATGGCTGTGTCGGCGCTGCGCACCACCGCTACCTCCAACACTACAAAACGCATTGCACCCCCTGTCCGTCTACTGGGGTCTCTTGAAATCGAATTTGAATCCATAGTTTTTCCCGTCAGACGATTGCTATCATTATTGTACCACTCGCTATATGCATCCCTGTTCTGGTGCTTTTATATCAATATTTTCCGTACTTATAATCCCTGCAAGACTCCAGAATCAGTTATATAAATCTCACCCCTATGCCGTGCCCTCGGCCTGTACGCTCTCTAATGGCAGCATATGCAAGCCACAGGCGCAGGCTTGCCAACCATTCAATCAGCACGAGTAGCCGCTGTGGCGAGAGGGCGTGACGATTAGCCAAGAAAATACGCGCCATCGTCAAATCTAAATTCCCTTCTCGGACACGCCAAGTCCTACACCCTCAACTATGTGGGCAAGGCATGTCAAGTCATACCCCTATTTCGCTTCAGCCCAAGTTGCCGACTTTCCCTGTTCAAATGGAGTTCGTTTCAGCTAGAATCTAACCATATACCAAGCAGCTATACCTCTTCTACTACAGGCATCCATCCTAGACCTTTCATCCCACTTCATAATAGTTCAATATCATGTCTCTTTGCACCGAATGCGAAGCCCTCGTTTCACTCCTCCATGACCGCATGAACGGGAAAGGCAAATACAAATTGCACAAGAGCGTATCGGAGATTTTGAAATATTCCCCCGATTGCGATCTGTGCAATCTTGTCATCTCGGTAGAATTCAAGTGGCAAGATAATTTCGAGTTTCCAGTCGCCTCCCTTAGTTACTTCAATAATGAGAGTGCCATCCGTGCTTCGGAGGGGGAACTTTCGACGAATCTAGGTATTGATAAGAAGGTGAAAGTTGGAATTTCAGTTGATGTCTGCGAGAGGGTCAGCGAAGTGGTATTCGAATTCCAATGGATGAGCCTGGAAGCCGAGATCCGACGCGGCAAAGTCTGCCTTGCGGTTTGGAAAGACACGCCCTGCGCCGACGTCCCTCTAGAGAAAGAATGTCCACGCCACAAACCCAACTTTATCTCTGAACACATATTAGAGCGCCAGCCTGTGGATAATCGGTGGGCCCAGTTCCAATCGTGCGCCTCGAGCGATGTCGCGTATCGGAAATATGGCTCTCTGGTCGACGACGAGTCGGAAGAGACGCTAAACTATCTCAATGAGTGGTTGCGCGTTTGTGAATGGTCTCACGGACCCTGTAGGCGCTCGCTCGCGGGAAAGGGGATCGACGGCCGGTATCCAAAGTTCGATGGATTATGTTTCCCGTGGGAAGACACTGATGCGCCGCTCCCGCACCGTGTTCTCGCCATATACACGGACCACGTCAAATTGGTCGAAACAAAAGAGGGTCAAACAGGGTGTTATGTTGCGCTTAGCCACTGCTGGGGTAACTCGGAGAACCATCCACTCAAGACAACCAAGGGAAATTATGCTGAGCGTCTCGCGGGTATCCTACTAAAAGACTTACCGAAAACCTTCAGAGACGCTGTCAAGGTCACAAAACATATTGGCGTAAATTACCTCTGGATTGATTCTCTTTGTATAATCCAAGATGACATTGAGGATTGGAAACAGGAAGCCGCGAAAATGGGAGCTGTTTACGAGTACGCTCGCCTCACCATTGCGGCCGCGGACGCCAGAGACAGTACGGAAGGCTGTTTTGTGACTGCAAGACAAGACCTTGAAGACATACACAAGAGGATAAAGGCTGCAAAGGCGGAAATCCTTACTGAAATGAGTGCCCCAGTGAAAGAAGAAAATACAGAGAGAGCAAATTTCGCACAAAGAACGTCGCCGCTGAATCCACCTCGGATCACTATTCAAACCATAGGGAGAAACAATGTACCGGTGACAATCCATCTCGCGGCAACACCATGGCAGAACTACCACCCGTATTACACTCGCCTGGCATCTTCTACGCACCAACTTCGAGTTTTTCAGAATAGGTGTAATTTTAGCTCATTATATACAAATCCATCCCAAGAAATCGATTG